AGACCCCCAAGTACAAACTAAAGAAGGAAAAACAAAAGAATATCAACCCATAACAAGAAAGGCATTTATTGGAAATCTCTACACCTGGTTAATGTGCAAAAACTTTTGTTTTTTTGTCTTACATGATTGTTGGAGTTGAGGTTTCGATTATCTGCATTGTTGAGCATGAGAACGTAGATCTCGAAATTTGGCATTCATGGAACTTAGTTACCTGAGATCTTATTGTTCATAAATATGATCATGCACACAATTTTTAGTTGTTGTCTTAAAGTGGTCATTTTGATTCCAAATGCTGAATCCTTCACCGACTTGATGTTAATTGCCTCTCAGTAAATAACTGATACATAGTGTGTAACATGCGTATCTAGTGCAATTTTTAGTTTGATGTGCTAAGGCGTACGATGTTAATGATGTTATATTGTTTAATGATTTGAAATGAAATTGTTTATGCTATTATCATCAGTGCCAAATGCATTTGTTTATCTGAAGTTTGGACAGTTTTTGAAATTATCCTAAAGGGGAGGGGGAATGAATATGGTATTTGCTAATCTAATCCGATATTAATGTCAAATTAAAACTTTATAAACTAATTATCCTTAACAATAGAATATGCACAATAATATAAGCAAGGATAAGCAATTTACAATAGGCGATATAAATAATGAGACAATAAGAGTACGCCACGCTAAACGCAAACACAAACAAATGATCACGAAGTTCGGCCGACCCACGACCTACGTCTCCGCTCCTCACCCTCGAAGAGAATCTCCACTAACTCAAAATCAACTACACAATCGGTTTTCCAAGTTCACCGAAAACTTTTACAACTCGCACAATTGTTAATACACAACACACTTCTCTAAGTGTTGGTCTAGCCCGTGTCACCTTTCTCAAGTGCTCGAAATTACTTCTCCCTATGATTTACTACCGACATCACTCCTCTTGGAATTGACTCCGTCTCTCACCAACCACTCCTTTAAGTGTCATTGTGTATTACAATGTGATCTTAACAATTAAGCACAATAAAAATTGTTTGTTGTCTATTACAAAGATGAGAACTAAGTGTAAGCTCACTCAATCACACACATAACCAAATTATACAATATGTGAAAAATACTTTAAGCTCAAGTGCTTGTGTGTGAAAATGATAAGTAATAATGAAACTAAACTCAAATTAATCTAGCGAATAAATATAATAATTAAAATATGAACAAGCTAGATAAAAGGAGTTTAGAAAACTTCTCAAACAAAGAGATGTAGATGGTTGAGGATGAGCTCCTCAATATTGAAAATCAAATCATTCTCTTTGTGAAACCATCTTCACATCAACAAACTTGAGAAAACTCTTGAAAACTTTAAACAAACTTCCCAAAACTTAATTTTAAACTTTTCTTAGCTATTTTAAAGTGTTGAGGGCTGAGGGGTATTTATATGTTCTCAAAACAACAACCCAAAGCCAAAGAAAACAGACACAATCCTAAAAAATCGGATTCTAAAAAACTAGCCGTTAGCTGCAACGGGTACAATGTCGGTCGACCGATGGTCAAAGATCGGTCGACCGAAGGGTGCTTATCGGTCGACTAATACATATGTTTCGGTTAACTGATAACCCTGAGAACAAAACTGCTGAAAAATATTTTCTGGCCGGTTGATCGGTGCATCACGTTCTAAAAAACTGATACTTGATATTTCAGAAATTTGACTTTTAAAATACAATTAAAAATAACAAATAAATTCCAAAAATGGTAAACTTTTGGAAAATGTTTATAAACATGAAAACAAACATGTTTGAGAAGAAATTTTTGAATTTTCATTTACCGTTTCTGAAAACTCATTATTTTACAAAAGTGTTAGAAATACGAGTTTGTAATTGCTTGTTTTTGACACAATGACTATATGCAAGTTTGGAAAACTATTTGAGTGGATTAATGGACTTGATAAGAGATACGAAACATTGTTGTTAAGTCAATAATCCAAAAACTTAATATATTCTTAAAAACGTGCATGTGTATGAATTGGGCTTATAAGTATAATGCACAAAGTATAAACCTAAGCTATTTTACCCTAGCTAATGGTCTTCGTTTGAGCTCGATCTTGGTGACGGATGAAGCGATGTTGAATCTTGATATTAGTTGTGACGACTTCATTACAAAATCATTCAACCTCCAAGAATATCTTCGTTATGCTCAAATAAGTCCTGATTGCATATAATATAAAAACACAAACACTAGAAACAAGATTAGAAATTGTTTGTTATTCATCAAAACAAGATTAGAGAAGTAAGCTCACACCCGAGTCCTAACAGTTCTGACTCACGATCTATTTTTCTCGACATGTTTTTTTATGTATTTGATTTTCTCATCTGACGTATTGATCGTCTCTAAGGCTCTTTAGTTTTGTACATGCTCATAGGGGTTAACTACTGGTGGACTTCCTACATTTATAGACATTGGTAACAGTTTTGGAGCTCCAGCAATTATTGAAGATAATTTGTTATATCAGGTTTGTCCTTTTCATATGTTCCCTAAGCCATGTGTGACACAAATTGAGGAATCAAATATTACTTAAAGCTGTTCAAATTGTTTCTTCTGTGCTTATTCTGATATTCTGGGTATTTTCTATTCTAGAACAGTTGTCTAAAAATGGAAAGAGAGTGCTGATGATGGGGGATGATACATGGATGCAGTTGTTTCCTGATCACTTTGAAAGATCATATCCTTATCCTTCTTTTAATGTTAAAGATCTCGATACGGTATTTTTTTATCTGTCATGATCATGTCGTACTTAACCTTTTTCTGCAATTATTCATGTTTGCTCTTGTGGTAGGTGGATAATGGCTGTGTTGAGCACTTGTTGCCATCATTGCAAAATGAAGATTGGGATGTACTTATTGCACATTTTCTTGGCATGGTTAGTTGTTTTTTTTCACATTTCTCATGCTATACTTGGTAGAGTACATGAATATTTTCTGGTTTTGTGACATATGGATGGTAATTTATTATATTCGCCTACATGGCATATGCTCTTGCTATTTCATACTCTAGGAGATTGCACAAGCTTTAAGTGCATATCTGTAAGGTAAGGTTAATATCTTCCAACTGTCCTGTTAGGATCTTGGTCAGCCCTTGCATTATTGAATATTTTCCTCGATCAGGAAACTGGTAACAATTTAAGATAGTTGATCTTAGGTTGACAACCTTTCCTAAAATGTCAACAAATCTTCATACCCTTTTTTGTGTCATAGCTGACCACACTTCCACAAAAATGTTTAGCTGATGATGAGACTGAATTTGTTGATGCTTATATCTTTAACAGTTGGCTGACATCAAATTTGATTAGATTTGGTCTTCTATTACATCATTATTCATAATGGCCTAGCTGAAATACTTGAAATGAATGTCTGTTGTTGTTTCTTTGTCATTCCGAACTGTGAAATTGTTTGATTATTGCTTATCAGTTTATTACTTTATTAACTGAGTTTTCTAATAATTATCAGTTCTCATGATCCCTACTGCTTATAGGATCATGCGGGACATATCTTTAGTGTTGACTCTACTCCAATGGTCCAAAAGCTGGAGCAGTACAACAACATTTTGGAGGTAGAATCTTGTAGAATTCCTTCTGTTTTGAGTATGACACTTACATATGTAATTTTCCATCACACTTTTATTTATCCCAAGGATTATTTTCGTTGATATACAGCACCCAACAACATCTGTCTTGATGCCTCCACCATATTTACTATGTCATTGTATTTGTGCATATCATTTAAAATTTCTTGCCATCTTTTTTTTTTAACGTAACAGCTCAAATAATTCTTGCTGAGCTTTTAGGAGGTTATTGAAGTCATGAGGAGCCAGTCTGGACCTGGTGGTCTCCATGAAAACACTTTGCTACTCGTGATGGGGGATCATGGACAAACCATAAGTGGTGATCATGGCGGAGGCACTGCAGAAGAGGTATTCTTTTTATGCCTTTGGCACAGATGTTTGTTTTTAAGCTAATAGGATCACATACCCTGCAGATTGAGACATCCCTTTTTGCAATGAGCATGAGGGCTCCTCCTGATGCAGTGTTATCTGTCCTTGATGCGATTTTTTGCAAAGTGAATTTGGTACGTCATGTTTTTGTGACATTCTTTTTTATTTTTAATTTTGTGCCTAGTTGGATATAATAAATCAATCAAACTTGTTCCATGATCTTCATTATACATGCAATTGTTTCAGCCTAGAGTTACTTGGGAAGACTCTTCCCTTTTTTTTGGATATTTATTAGATAGTTGCATCAATTTGTAGCTAGTCAAATGAGGGTTTTTAAAAGAGCAATCATTTAAGTTTTGAACTACGCATCTACCCTCATTTGAATTCAAACATTCAAGCTGTCTCTATATAAAACTAGTTATTTTTTATACAACATTTCATTCTCATTGTTCTCAACCAGTGGGTAGTGATCTTGTTGGCAATCTTTTCTTAAAGTTCTAAGCTTGAGTACATTTTCCATTGTCACCTTATCAATAGAACTGCATTCAGCTATTGAATAGGACCTTAAAATTTGAAGGCTGATGGGAATAGTACCAAATTTAGGTTTGAAGAAAACCTGCCGTGAAGGTATTTAGTTGAGAGCATATTTTCTTCCAGGAAATGTGGAGTATATGGACAAAGGGACTTCTCCTAAAACCTAGCAGGCTATTGAGGGCTAGCGAACCCTATTTAGTCTTGCAATGAAGATCCTGAAAGAAGCAGCTGTCCAAAATTAAGCTGAGAAAAAATGTTGATGGCAGGAAAATAATAATTTCCTCATGTAATTATGTTCATCTCACACAGTGTAACTATTAAGGGGGGAAACAACTTAAAGTAAATCCTTAGTGCCTCAAGAATATCTTTGATGAGACTCTTCTTCTCTAGCTTCTTTTCTAAGCGCTCCCTTTTACTAGAAATTCCCATCCGGAAAATGCACCAAATTTCCATATATTTTTCTGGTTAAAGAAATGATGATGCTTTAGTTTTTTCGATTCTTCAACTTTTATAGATCTGACTACTCTATGAGATTTAAAGCTACTTAAGCAATTCTTTTTTTCTTAGTTTTTGGAGATCACAGTGGTGTAAGTATCTCATCTATATGATATTGATTGCTATTTGTCCCGGTTCTTGCTCAAGTCAAGTTGGTCTTTTTATGTGTAGCTTTTATTGATTTCCCCCTCACATTTCATATTTAGGCTGGCGAGAAGACATGCATCAGCTCCATCCAGCAGGTTTTTATCTAGCATACTTTCAAATTTCACCTGTTCCCTTCCTATCAAAATCCATGCTCCATCTTCTGTTAACATCATTTGTTTTTGGCGCAGCTTGATTTTGCAGCAACTGTGGCAGCTCTTCTTGGTATTCCTTTTCCCTTTGGAAGGTGCATTATACACATGTCCTAAGTGTCAAATGTGCTACTTATTAAAGATGTTTTCCTTCTGAAATTGATGAGTCTTAAGTAATAGGTACACATAAGAAACAGTTCTTTAGTCTTCTCGATAGTCTGCCTCCTTGGGTACCCATTTTGTAGTCCTTTAATGATCTATATAAGGGGTCTGGCTGGTTTGGGAAGCCTTTCCCAAAACTAGAACCACTATGAGCATGCTCTAACTTGTCTGACCTAAGCCCTTTAACCGACCTCATCTCTTTCTATTTTCCTGGATATAAATTGACAGACAAGTCGCCACACTTTTTGAAACATTCAAACATTGACGTCAAAGTTGTAATTATACACTATGTTTTTGTAGGGAGGATAATCAACATGTATATGTTCCTTGGATATGATATCCTTGGGCTGTTGGACTGGCACCATGCATTGGAAATTAATATGATCTCCGCAACAGAACACTTATCATCATACTTCTTCTTGACTCTTCTTCATGAGATTAAACTATACGATAAACAGGTGTCTGTGAGGGGAGCAACCAATGAATAACATTAGCCTATCATACAATAATGCTAATGATTGAGGTTCAATTTAATGTGTCATAAACTAGTTGGTGACACTAAACCTACTAAGCAGACGTTCCTGAAAACGTCAAGACTAAAGATTAATTAGGAAATGAATATTTTCGGAATGTCAGTGAATATCTTAACATGATGAGTCACCCTAAGTTAACTGGCTTGGCTTTAAGATTAATCTTGGGTTGTTTAACAGGACACATAGCAATTTTTGGGGAAGTATGGTAGGCAGTTAAAGTTGCTTCTTGTTAATTAATATTTAAGGAGTAAAGTGAAAAGTGGAGGACTAAAAAAGATCTGCTTCAACCAGACTTTAAATTTTGAGCGGGAAAAGAATTCCAATGAGGTGGGAGCAATCATATTCTGTAAATTGCACATAATGCATGATTTAGATTAAGTTATGTTGAAGATGGCTGTAAATACTATGATTATGGTTTAGTGCGAGCTACTGACTATTGACTAGTTAATGTTCATCTAGGACAATAATCTAGTAATTCAAGGCCCTGATCTTATGTGTTCTAACCTTTTAGGAGCAACGCTAACATCCTTGAGACAATAATCATACCAATATGATTGACATCAGTAAGAAGAATCAAGACATCAGCTCTAGTTAGAATTTAAATGAGAATAAGCAGTTAATAAAGTCTTGGTGAGCACATTATCCCAGATTATAAAGTAGCTCTACCTTGCTTGCGTTACATGAACGTGAGTCATGGATGGTTCCAGTACCACTTGTAGTATTACATGAACAGGTTTCTCAATCCGTGAAGGAAAATATTCTCTTCCGCTTTTATGTTAATCCTACAATAAACTTGTATTTGTTTGGACATCTTTCATGCATATGTCACGACAAACAACGATATGAACAAAAACTATAAAGCTCCATACATGACCCTTTCATTTGATTAAATCCTGTAAAATATAATCTCCTTGGCTATGCTAACTACTGCAATCCTAATTTTCATTTCTTGCGAATCATCTTAATTGCTTTCCATCCATGTTTGATCTCTATTCCTCGTTGCTGTATTAAATACAAACCTATCATATTTCCTAGCTGTCACACATTATTGGCTTCCTTGCATGATTGAACCATCTTAATTGATCTGAGCAATCTCAACTGCTTACAAATGCACTCATTCCTTATCTTCCCTTTGCATAATGTCGCACAGTATTTTCAATTTTACTACTTGTTTATGGATGTTTGCAGTTACTTTAGTTTCTGTTACTCTAGCTCCTGACATCATAATTTAAATTAAGGCTGCTTTCAAGAAGACTACTGTATGAACAATACATTTTCTTATTTACAGTTTTCTGGCATGCCTCTAGAAATTTCAATTCTATTTTGGATATTTAATATTTTCAACTTTTCTTGTACAACACTAACATAGTGTCTCCCCTGATGGTCTCATTTTTTTCCTTCTGTAGCATTGGCCGTGTTAATCATGAGTTGTATGCATTAAGTGCTGGTACATGGGGTGGACAAAGGAATAGTGGTAAAAATTGTAATTCTCGGTCAAATTTGGAAGAATGGATGCAAAATTATGTTAATGCTCTCTGCGTTAATTCCTGGCAGGTAACACTTACGTCCTGCTCCTGCAATATACTAATGCCAATACTTGTAGGAGGAAGAGATGAATGAAAATGATGTATTTCAAATTGGAATGTGATCTGCCTCTCATTTAGTTTAAGATTAAACTATCTTGTCATTTAACTGAGAACTGTGAGATGTGATGCTGGCATAAAATTAAATTGATCTTCTACTTAGTAATAGCACCGGATTTAAGATTAGTAAGAAACTAAGAATATAGACCTCCTTTATTCTAATCAATCTAGGGAAAAGGTTCACTGATACATATGCCACCAATATTGACCAAGTTGAGATAACACATTATTAATCCAGCTTGCCATGAAGTTGGAGAAGTTCTGCTGAATTTAATACACGGGAAAGAGGAAATGGGTAGGAAGTGCTTGCTGTATTGCTAGACAACATCCGGTTTAAGTGTTCAACTGTCTATCTCCATCTACAGTAACTGTGGCTATAAAACTAGTAGATGTATTTCATTAAAGTCATTTCTTTGAAAGTAAAAACTATAATATTGCTCCTTACTTTTTCATGTCGTCATTTATCTTATCATATACATCAACAACATGCCTGCAGTTCTCCATTCTTTTATTCATTATTGCAGCACATTACTCGAACGTTGATTGCGAATCATTGCTCTGTGTTTTCTACAGTTGTGAAAATCTCAGCATTTAAAGGCAACATGCGAGGTCAAGGCAACAAGGTCCTTTGTTGCTTGAGGAGAGAGAGTGGGAGACATTAGAAAAGGAGACTGCCAGTGTGAACCTTGCCAGTAATATTCTCATAAATAAAGCATAGTTAAACACTATTAATAAATCACAACAAAATCATAACAAGACAGACTGATCATAACCAAATTTCTGAATTCAGAAACTGATAATTAAGCCAAATCATCCAAATAAAGGAGTAAGTATTAAGTGCTAATACTAGCTAGTAACTTCTATGTAAGATAATTTAAGCGATAAAGTTTGAACTTTCAGGTTTCAACATGTGATATGTTGTCAAAATGATATAAAAAAATTTGACAATAAATATCACCGAAAAGAGAAAAACAAAAAGAACAAATTTTACCCTACCAGTTGTTGCAAACAGACGAGAGAAAAATAAAAGAAAGGGGAGAGAATTGAATGTTCATAGAGGATGCTGTTGGTTATCTTTTGAAGCTTTTAAGCTAGATTAGCTTTTTGGCTTTTATGGCAAAAATGTTATAACAACTGGGTGAGTAGAGAACTTATTTACTTGGTCAAACTTAGCTTATTTAGGTGAGAGCTTATAAGCTCATAAGTTCGAGGAATCCCAACGTTTTCAATCAATACTTAAAAATTAGCTTATTTGTTGTGTTACCAAATGCTTAGATATGAATAAGTCAGCTTATAAGCTACTTTGACCAAAAGATAAGCCCTCCCGAACAACCTCATCATCTTTAAAATACACCCTAAAATGCGTTTTGATAATACGTCTCTCATATTTTAATAGCCCCCCCCCCCCCCCTCCCCCCGGGCCGGCTCGGTATAAAATCTACGCTGATTTTTATGCATGAGGCGAGCGCCTGAGCACCACAAGTGCTTGCTTTTATAACCTTCAAGCTAGTGACATTGCTAGACACTAAGATATAAATTTGTCGCATTGCATCTGAGGCGCTTAGACATGGCACTTTTAAAACAAGAGAAAAGCCATCAAACCTTGATGGTTTATTGAACTTAAACATTTTAATTTGTTCGGGTGCTCCAGCCTTTACAGAAAAGGTGAGTTGAAGTATTTGTCTATTTCTAGATGCAACAAGGTTCCTAGCTGTAGGCATAGAAGAAATTTCATTTTAGAGATGTTAGGTAGAGTGTTTAATGTGGTATCAAAATGTCCGGTAAAGACTAAGGGCTAGTTTGGTATTGCGGGCTTATGATAAGTTGCTTATATAAGTAGCTTATAGAAACACCTTATATAAGCTGATGAAAATAAATGTTTGGTAATCTTATATAATAAGTCATTTGCAAAAGCAGTAAGGTGTTTGGTAAAATTGTGCTTAAGTATCGTTATAAGTGAATGACAAAAATAAACATCACTTTAACTATCAAAATAAGCAAGATGATTTTAGAATAGATAAAAGTAATAACGTCAAGAACTAAAAGATAAATATCGTATTAAAACATATATGTTTGAATTTGATATATATTTTAATTTTAGAACACTTGTCATGCACTTCTTGGACGTGTATCCTACATTTGACATCCATTTGTTGAAACTCGTTAGACGTTGATTGGTTTTGTTTCAGTCCGTACCAAAGTTCAAAACTATGAATTAGTTGTTTAGGCGTATAGTCAAAAAACGAGTAGTTTCCATAATCATCAACATTCTAAAAGACACTTAGAAATGTGATAGGAAATTTAATTCTAATAACACATGAATTGAAAAACAATAGTGATCTTATGTCAATTATTAGTTTCAATACATGTCTGTCTCTGTGTGTGTGTGTAGTTGTGTCCCTGTAACCTACCTTCTACAATTTAACCGTATCCTGCACCCGTACCCAACACCATGCGACTTAGGTGAAGCACTCTAAATAAAGCAATGCCAAACTGGCCCTAAATAGTTTTATTTATAGCGAGTGTGAATTGTTTTATACCAATTTATTTTTCTGATACTACTATGTTTTGATAATAGTCTTTTTGTTTAATATCTTTAAGTGAATTGAAATAAACATGTCCTATCAAATTCACTCTAGTTCTTATTTAAAATGATGAGAAATTGGACCTTTACGTTGTGAATCTATTGATACAACCCTGAGGATCTGGCATTTATAATTGAGTAGGAAATTTGGATACCATACTTCGAGGTCTATAAAACAGCATGAGCCAGTAATTCTTTTCGTTTTAACAGTATGCATGCATTGTTTCTGAGCTGGTGGGTTTTTTTTGTAGTACTTTCTTAAATGAATGATCCAGTTTCTCTTTTGTGGTTCAATATAAATTTTTCTTCGTCGCTTCAACTATTCCTATGTGCTAAAATTTTCCTACATGCAAGCACCTATAATTCTTTCAGAAGAATTACATTATTTTCTAGACTTTTTCCTGTGAATGTGTAAGTTCTGCCCAATATCCTACTTTGCTTTATTGACTATCTTTTCTTCTCTCTTTGCATGTTCTAATACTACAGTGGCTGTATCTCAGGTGAAAAGATATATTGACATCTATTCGGTGACTTCTGTTATCGGACTTCCTTCAGAAGACCTGTCTCACATAAGACAATTATACACGCATGCACAAGACAATTGGTCAAATATTACACGGTCTTCTTGCTTAGCTAAAAATGATATCCCTTATGAAGATCATGGCAGTCTAGTATCTACTCTCCAGAAGCAAATTGATGCATACTCAAAGTTTCTAGAAAGTGTTGCGACACTTGCTCGCTCAGCATGGACCGAGTTTGACCTGATACTAATGGGTGTTGGTCTCATTGTTATGCTGGCCTCTCTTTTTGTGCATCTCTTAGCCATTAGACGAGTTCATGTCCTCTGTCAGTCGTGTTATACGGCGCCTACTGTTTCATTTATCTCTTTAAGGTCAATTGTCGTCTATCTCTTGGTGCTAATGCGCGGAGCAAGTTTCCTCTCAAACAGTTACATATGTGAGTTAGACATTTCTTAATTTCTAAAATTTGCATGTATGCTTCTTGTCATCCTAAACCTTTTTCTTGTTTCTCACGAATACGTGTTTTATGAAATCAGTGGCAGAAGGTATCGTAGCTAACTTCCTTTTGGCTACTACTGGTATCCTTAATTTGTCGTGCTCAATAGCTGATGGTAAATTTGCAATAGAAGTGAGTACAAGTTCTTTGCTTCTCTAAATGTCTGCTGCTTTTTAGAATGCTTTGAATTGATGCACTTCTTATAGGAATTATCATATAATCTAGTTTCTTGGTGCATTTTGTGAAGTTGATTCTCTTGTGATATTATGCAGGAACTTTTGTTTCTTTTTATAAATATCATTCTTAGGCTTGGCATTGAATTTGGGATTTCAAAACAGACTGCTGGATCAACATCTTTGAGTTTCCATTTCCTAAGTATTCTTCCTATTGATAAAGATCACCCTGTTTTGATTGGATTGTTGGAGATCTTTCCAATCTTTATTCTATTCGTGGTGGCATTTGTGATGTTTAAGTGTTCTTCTACTCTACCTTGTCGGAGATGTATAAAGTTCTGCTTTGTAGGAACTGTTCTAAGTTATATTCTCATAGCAGTACACTGGGTCTCAGAAAGTAATGTGGTGAATGTTTATCCAGAGCTTCAAGATTTTGGAAAAAATATTGCCCCTCGGCTGGTTTATGCTATTGGATTTGGGTTGCTGGTACTATTAGTGCTTTCTCAGATCTTCTACCAGAAAGCGACAGTTTCAGATTCCACTGAAAAGTTAGCTCCTGCAACCGCAGCCATGGTTTCTGCATGGAGCTCTGCTATTTTGATTCTTTTGGGAAAGCGAGGTTCATTTGTTGCTTTAATCTGCATTGGTGGAGGTAGTCTCTCATCACTAAATTCATAGATTAATACTTGGTTTTCTATGTGCTACATAACTATCAAATCTGATGAGTGAAATTAGAAACAATTTACTCTGCGATTTAGTTAAGTAGGTGGTTAGGATTTACTTGGTTCTTACTATCTTCTTATTGAACTTTTACAGGATTTCTGGTCATCTTGTACTTTTATATTTTGTATCCAGGTGTTTGTTAATTTATTAATCAACTTGAGGGGACTTCCGTCTAAATCTTTGCTTTAAAACACATGAACTAGAACTTTATATAGTGCTGGAGCATAATCCATCTTCACATAATGTCTTGTTACCAGTCTACAAAATAATCTTTTTTTCTTCTTTTGATATCAAACTTTCTTAGTTAAATGTGTTGAACTGGATTCATTCTCATTTGGCAGCATGGTGTATCATAAAGTCACAAAAACCAGCTACAGGGAGAGACATCACAAAGGGCAATTCTGGAGTGTTCTTCACAGATCCCGTCAACATAACACAGTGGAGCCTTCTTGCAGTTTGTTTATTTTTTTACACTGGACACTGGTAACTTTGCTATCTTTTTAAGTAAACATTTTACTTTTTAGAGATTGTATCAGTTGAATAGGTTCTAGGCGACTTCTTGTAAAGTACATTTCCAGATTTCCAGAATTAAAGTTAATTAATCTTCTTGCAGTTTGTATACATATTTGTTATACACATACAGTTGCAATATGTTTCTGCAATCAACTATATATATTTATACCGTGCGATTTCATCATGTATGTTTTGCAGGTGTGCTTTTGATGGTCTGCGTTATGGTGCAGCATTTATCGGGTGAGTTGTCCTATTTCCAATTGTTGAACTACATGAAAGCTTGAACATCATATAATTTTTGGTTACTGGATCCTTTGTTGTCTATGAAATTCCTAATTTAAACTCAGCTTTATGCCCCCTACCTGAAGACTAATGGTCTTCAATTTACATTTAGCGATGATGAAATTATATGACTATCCTTTGTGTTCTTCAGGTTTGAACATTTTAACATCATTCGTCAAGGTCTTCTACTTGTGATTGATACATTTGGCGTATCTTTCATTCTTCCTATTTTGGGCCTACCATTTCTTGTTGGTCACCCACATCAGAGCACAAGGGAAGATCGGGCAAAGGATGTCCCTTTCTTTAATCTGACCAAGGTGCTAACCTTTATCTGACATACTACTTACTTTTCAGCAACATATAGCTACCCTTGTATATATTCAGAAGTTGCATATTTAAAAATATACACTTGTAGAGGCATCCATTTTTTATATTTAGACTTTTGACTTAGTTGGATAGTTGATCTTTTCATGTTCTTATAGTTGTTGGTGTATTTCTATTACTATGCTGAACAACTGAGCATAACTTCAGTTCTCTGCCAATTAATTACAATTCTTAAACGACATGACTGATTTTATTTCTGCATCTTGTTCTTAGTTGGTATTAGGTCATTACTCCACAGAAAATATCCCAGGCCATTAATTTCCACCGCAAAAGAAAAGTTAAATTTTATTGATAAAGTGTATAATGGAGAAACTGCTTCAATTATTTCCTTTTATCTTTATTAGTTTGCTTCCACTAATAATGCACACACAATTACCTTTCAGCTTATTAATTTAAATCAGACTAACTTGCATGATTTAACTTCTTTGTTTAAGGTTTTCTTGAGTTATGGGCTGATAACAGCAGTTACAACTACTTTTACTATCATATGTGTTACAATCCAAAGGCGGCATTTAATGGTGAGTTACTTTGACATTCATTATTTTTATCTGATTTTTTGATAGCATTTATCAACTTGTATCAATGGATAAAGCCATTTTACTGGATGGATTAAGTTATAACAGTAGTTCGAAACAGGTCATTGCTTCTTGTATTTCATTGAAAAAGTGCCTTCTCCTTCTAAAAATGCCATGCATCAACATTACTAGAAGAAGAAAGGGAAATTTTTTTGACACGTACACATTTGTCATTTGGTTTGTTGTTTTTGTTTACCGGTGCTTCATCTTTTTTCTGTTCTTTTTCTGGCAGGTGTGGGGATTATTTGCACCAAAATATGTTTTTGATGTGCTGGGTCTCCTCCTTACTGATGTTTTGATCTGTTGTGCATCTTTGCTCTACTACTGAGGCAGTATTGATATACGCTGGTAGTTTACCTTGTGGATTTTAGTTGTTAATTTGTTGATTAAAATCTTTACAGAATGTTCGAGGCTTTGATTCATTGGCTTCTCTGTATATGAATTTTTTTTATCAATGCTCACTATAAGATAGAGCTACTAATGGATTCAATGTATCATTCATAGAAGATACAGCTACTAAGGGGCTGTTTGGTTCGTTTTTTAACTCGGCGGAAAAGTTTTACACCGGCTCCATATCAGATTTTTCGTGGCCACGTAGGATATATGCTTTCTGTCGGTTTTTTTTCTCGTCTTTGGTTTGCTAGGGTTGAAGAAGGGAAACTCCGTAAAAATCGCCGTCGCATCAGATTTTTTTCTCTCCCCCAATTCCTTCCTTAACCTTGAGAAATTGATGAAAATTGCAACCACTTAGTTTTTTGTTATATAAACAAAAGTTTTTTTTTCCATGCGAACCAAACACAAGAAAAATAAATACATTGGTTTTTCACCTTTTTTTTGCGATATATGACAAAAGTTTTTTTTTCCATGCGAATCAAACACAAGAAAAATAAATACATTGGTTTTTTTTTTTTTTTTTTTTGCGAACCAAAGCGAAATAATCTATTTCTTGAAAAAGTTTGAAAAACTCAAAACTTGTGTTTTTGTACATGGAAATGCATTTCGCTATATCTATGAAACGAACCAAAGAGCCCCTAAATGAAAATTTTCTTTATTTCCTTTAATGAGGTTTTACTTTATTCGTTTTCACTCATAAATGCTGTTCTGATTTGCTTCTTGCGTAGGGCTTTAGCCTTTCGCTCTAGTTGCCTGTTTGATTCTAAACCTTGTGCATAGGTTATGGGCTAAATAGAGAAGCATGTTTTTTTGGACTAAAGGATGAAAAAAAGAGTTTCATATTTGTCGAATTTAGGCCCTACAAACTACTCTTCCATGAGTTTTTAGTGAAAAAGTATTTTCAATAGAGAGATTTAATCAAGCTATGGTAGGCATTAACTGCACCTTGTCTAAATGAGCAACTTACCTGTATTGTTAATGACTTCATCTATCTCTAAACTCCGTTATGTTTTTAATCACATTTCAATGGGCAAAAGATCAAACAACTTTTTAAAAATTTTGAAACATCGAATTTCCGAACATTTGATGCATAGGTAAAATATGACAATCTTTTGAAATCTTATTTCTCGATAGTTGATGAGTAATAGATCACCTTCACCAATACCAATTTCCACTTTAGACAATCATAATTTCAGATTTGAATTGAGTGTCGACTTCTTGCATACTGTTAATAGTCCAGTTCATATGCATAACTTCTATAAAAATAATGATAATGATAAAAACATGTTACTCCTTGATACCTTCTGTACATTAAGCATATGTACACAATATATTCTTTCAATGGCGCGTTAAGCATATGTACACAAAACCCTTCTCCTCTCTGATGAATGTATGCTTCTCAACTTATCTGAGCTTTTACCGATCTTGGCAAAACAACTTATCTGAGCTTTTACCGATCTTGGCACATTCTATTGAGTGAAATAAGAGATTCACAAAAAAAAAGGATGAGACCTTTTCCGAGTTGAATTTTTGCCAAGCAAAGCAGTAAAATCCTCTTCAAAATTTCATTATCTTCAATAAACATGGTATGGTATGTAAAACTTTTATCGGAGGAGGACGAAAAAGCATCAGTGTGGTTTCCTTTTGTACAGAGAATAACCAACAAGTGCTGATAAGAGAAAAGTCCACAAAACCTGACAATAGAATAGGCAGATGGGTTAGTTTCTTGTGAATGTGTAACTTGTTCCTGTTTGATGAATAATATTCAAGTGGCAAGAATTGGTTAATATTTTAAGCAAAAAAAGTATCTTACCATATTGACTGCATTCCATCTCTCAAGCTTCTTGATCCTGGCTTGTAGATCTTCGATCACAAAATCTGCTGGTAAATTTTTACTATCTGTTGAAGACTCGACGTCAGAGCTTCCTCCCTGAACACAAGGGGCGCAAATCGATGAAATTGGCAATAAGGAGCTTCGCATACATTATCAACATGAAGTATAGTTCTGAGTGTTTAACTAACATATTCCATAATTCAATTTCATATGAAAACTACATCATAAGCGTATTTATAATCATCCATCGTATCCAAATGATAAATAGGTAAAGAATTCCATCTAAAAATTTCCCTGGAATCTTCTCAAGATTCTTGCACTGTCGAGTCATATGTTGCAGGCATCATTCAGCTTCCTCAACCTTAAAAGACTCTAAAAGGAACAGAACCAGTTGCTTGTCATCAACAAATCAGGGAAACAGTTGTCCCAAATCAATAGTTTAATAGTAGGGTGTGTTTCGCTTTGCAGAAAACCATTTCTACGAGAAAATATAGAAGCAAATTGTTGAGGTTCACTTCCACGTAGTTTATGCCACCAACCATCAATCCTAATGCATGTTATATGCACATACATGAAAATTACCGAAGGCATGTTCCTTCTAGAAGGAAAACAGTAAAGACATATTTATAATGGACTATTGTTGAAAAACATAGATAACACACTCGTCCTCCATCATTGGTAGCCAGCATTTTATATGCCCGGTCAGCTACAAAAGTGCATCATAAAATCTCACTTCTTAATAACTAAAACTCTAAAACAAATTACTAGGTGGTTTAGTTAATTGCTCAGTAAAACTCAATTTTCATAATATGGTGGCTTAATGAAAAAATTATTAGTGATCAGAGTGCGTCAGCATTCATTACGGTCCAAAATCTACATTGACTTCAGACAATGAAAATTAGAATAAAAGGTCAAACAGAAAAACTAATTGAAAACTGAAACTATCAATCAAAGCACATCAAACATGTCCATCCAGACTAACAACATAGCTATCACAAGAAGCCGACATGGAAGTAAACGATCCAAGCTGAACAATAGGACCGGATGTGAATGAAAAATAGTGGCCATATGGCATATATATATATTATGGAAATTCCTGAAAATCAAATAGAGGTTGATAACACAAGCACATAAAATGGATGATTTTCCAAAATTACTAGAAATCACAAAAACAAAAATTAGCATACAAAAGAAAGCCAGATACCTACTTGGGATTGAATAAACTCCACAATTTCCTGCAGTCTTGCAGCTTGTTGATTATGGATTCCAGTAGAACTTCTTTCAAATGCCGGCAAATTCTCAAGAATTATTTGAAGAAATGTCTACAAAAAGCAATAAAAATTTCAGCAATCCTTCTAAACTGCTGAAGGTGTTGATAGCTAAAGGTATACATCATACTAATATTGTAAAAATATAAAAAGAAAACCCTCCTCCTCCTAATGAGCAGGTAAACCAGTTAATAACAAACCTTCGTAGTGTATGAACCATCCAGACTTAGCGTCGAAGCAGCAGCTGAAACAACCTCTTTGTTTGTCCCTTTAATTTGAAGGTAGGGGCTGGGATTGGCTTGTAGGTGATCAACTTCAATAAGAATCTAAGATAAATTGAACAGGGAGGAGACAGGAGAAGAGGGTGAGTATGTATAGATAGAATAGCTTTGGAGTTATTTAAGAACTTATATCATTCTGTAACATTAGATTCTCTATGCTCACTATGGGGAAAACATCACCAGTATGATTAGCGACTTTAAGAATGTCATCCGGGTCATTACACAAAACATTAGCCCCAATAATAAGGGGTCACAGAAATTTGCCATCTCCTTATTTTTATTTCTTCAACCGTTTATAAGGAGAAAGTACTCCTGACCTCATTATCCAAACCAATATTGCCCTACAAAGGTATAACTTTGTCAAAGGTATAACTTTGTCAACTTTAAAATTATTAGGATAAATAACATGAAAGGATGCACATTCTCCTTTTATTTCAGAAAGAATCAGTAATAGGCAAATTTTGAAGACCAGTGACTTGGAGGACAATTTCAAAATGTGACGGTTTGGGGGTGATCTTTCTGAAAGTGATACTTCTTAGGGAAGTATATCTATAAAATAAAAAATAAAAATAAAAACAAACCTTAATTTCATAATAATGGACGTCCTGAGGCTTCCAATTATGAATCACTTATTTTGATGCCTTCTATGTTTGTTATTACCTTGTAAACTTCGCAAGAAAGGAAGTTTAGTCTTTAATTCAATGTTCAAACACGACAATCACCATATCTAGCCCCTTCTTCCATAAAAATGATGTTGGCTAAAGAGCAACCAAATTAAAATTTCTGACTGACAGAATTATGAACAACAGAGAGGCTTGGCATAAATGCTAGACAACCCTCATCTAACTGTCCCACAGCTTGGGTGAGCATAGTACAACATTTAAAGAGTAGATGTAACTTACTAACTTTAATAAAAGTACAAGCAATTCCATACACATTTTCATGCTTAGGACATATCTATGACCAAAGCTCAAAAGGACACAAAAGTTTGTGAATTCCACGAGAAAGAAAAGTTCACAAATTTTACAAACAAATTCTTTTAATTCGTCCTAGAAAAGTAGATTGTATTGTATCTTGAGATGAAGAAAATTCATGATAGGTAGACCTCTCATCTTAGGTATTCATCTTGAAACTTGTTCCTTGGTATGAGGTTATAGGTAAAGAAGCACATAAACAGAAAATCCACGGCATACAGACACCATATATTAATAACTATTAAAGGGTAACTAAGAAATACTCTTTTTGCAAGCAACAAAACTGGGGTAGGGTTTAAAATTATGCAGCCATTTAAAGGTCAAGAACTGAGACAGAAGTCCCGTGGAGTTTGCTTAGATATAGTAGATGATCATCAGGCTTACTGGAGAAGTTAAGATCACCATCAACTTGTTAAACAGGAATAACAGAGATCCAAAAATATGAAGAAACTTACCTTTCCATCTTGGTAAATTAATGCAGATGCTTCAATATATGCTACAGCCTGATACCTGACATAAATCACCAAGAAATTTGACTGTTAGTCAGTTACAACATCAATAAAAAGGCACAAGAAAGCCATCTGATGGAAGTGGTATATGCTGCTTAGTACTAAACGATGTAGTGACACAGCGAAAATGATTAAAACTTTATAAAGAGAGGAATATTGCAGTATAATGTCGTCCCGATATTTTACAAGCTGATACATTGATCCAAGACGTGTATAACAGGTGTTCTAAACTATATCATGTCTTACATAATTGAGTACACATTTGATAAATTTATGCATATAATCAAGGAGTGTCCTAGGAGCATCAGTGCCCGGTACAGCTATGTGAAATGTCGGGTACAACTTCATGAAAAAAGTGTCTATGTAACATAAGTGAAAACTAGATCGTACCATTTGGGACGTTTGATGTTTCATTAAACATTAATTGTAACTGTCATCTAATAAAACTAGCATTCATATGTAAACATATTCCAAGAATATGAATAAAATAATAAAAATGCAATTATGGCAATGTCAAACTTCACGTGACTTTGTTACTTACCCGAGACTAAGAAGACCTGCAACTGTGCTGGCGCTGATATCAAAATCTACTTTCGGCTGTATGATGAAGTTCCCTTCAATTATAGGCTACTCAAAAGGAAGAGAAGAAATTTCAGGATCCTCAATGCAACTAGATAGCGCTTCCCGAGCAAAAATTAAATAATGAGAAATCCTCTGACCTCTCGTATTAACAATGCAAATCTCCCTTCACATATTCTAACTCGAATGCAGTCACTTTCTGTAAGTTGTCCATTTGAAGGTGTCCCGGGAAGCTTTAGATATACATCAATGAAATTTTGAACAGAACTGCAAACTTTGCCCGAGTCAAGTGCTTTCAACAAGTCTTGGTATGTCACCTAAAATATGGCAAGCATGTAGAGAATATAATGACAGTGCAACACCAACTCAATAGAGCAGAAAGACAGTAGTAAATAGCTAATGCAAATATATTCATGTTCTTTCCTTTGTTTTAATTTGAGCTGCCTACATGTCGGTTGATGTACATGATATGATGATATGGCTGCACTTTTTGAATAATAATTGGAGGAAGAGTTAGTCAAAATTCTAGTCAATGAGGCGCCTTTAGTTTAGGCAGTTTGCCAGGATGGCTTTTACTTATTACTCGTTCACTGCTGTTCCTTATTCATTTCATCATTTCATCATGAACAGGCATGCACTTATCCACACAAATGCACACCAACAATGCAAACGAAAAAAGAAGGAAAGGAAAGCACACACAACCCACTTAAAAATAAAACCACCTGTATCCTCACAGGCAGATTCCATCCACTTCCACATTACGCATGCACACATCTTCACCCACACATAGCATTAGCATGTATCAAGGCAGTGGCTGAGCAAGGAAGCCCACCAACCAGATGAATCTAAAAGAAAGGCAGAGCAGTAAAGATGCACATGTAGTTTGTGTGAACCGAGAAAAAATGGACAAACAGGAAAAGGGGTATCTGATCCTTTCACCAACCAGATAAATCTTATGCTGCGCGGGCGCACACGCGTGGATGCGTGGGTCGAGATGGAAGGTAGTTATCTATGTGAACGAACAAACATACACACGCACATCCAACTTCTTTTTTTGGCTTAGCTTGTGGCAAATATGAATGTTCTACTATTGCCAGTGCAGACAATCCTGCCTATGAAATAATACAGCAATTTCAATGCTGAAAATGTGTAACATTTATATTAAATGTTGCAAAAATCCCCAAAAACATTAAAAATATCTAATAAACTAACAAGAGGGAGGGAGGGAGGGAGAACCTGCTTGCTGCTTTTCAGTACAAATAGTGAACTTTCAGGAGAAAGCACAGGATCAAAGTCATTTCGAATCTTCAGCTGTAATAACAATCAATGCGGATAAAATCTTAAATGGACAGGATGAAACTAAACTAAAATTAACACTATTTTATAGCAAATTAGCAACCCTACAGATAGAGACAACATGATAAGTTTCAATGTTCAGCATGTACCAACATGTGCATGGACAAGGTGTGGTTCGATGTGGTGCTGAAACATTGGGAACACTGTTGTCATAATCTCGTCCTGAGTTATGGAACAACCAACACGACTCTTGTCCCTCTGAACTCTAGCAATAAGATGTGAATGGACACCACCCACCTATTTTTGGATACCAAAATTAGTCAAAACTCTCAGACCTTTAAAGTAATATTAAGACAAAATAGTAAGACATCTTCAATGAAAGGTGAACAACAAATTGTCAGAGGATATGGATAGGGCTTGGAACTCACAACAGCAATCCACAAGTCTAATGATTTCCGTATTTCAGGATGTAATGCATATACCCCTTCGAAAATAACCTGATAAATTAGTAGAGATAACAAAAATGATTAAGGCACAACTATAATTACAAATTGTTAGTGTTGATCAAATATAAAGCACTACCCTTTGTTGATATACCACTAATTGCTGAGCCCAATTAATTCTTTACCTAAACTGAGTAAACAACAAAATAGGATTAAGGTAGTTTTAGTATGTAAGTTTTATAGAAGTTGTTTAGAAAAGGTCAATAAACCAGAACAAGCGAGAGATCTTCACGTATAATCAATCAATTAAAAGTTACTGTCACAAGAAGCAATAAGCATTGTTTCCTTCGTAAGGTAAAAAAGAAAAAAGAAATGGTTGTAGAAAACCCACCACATATGATCTTTGCCTATGAATGGTAATAATCAGCACATTGGATGGATGAAAGATTCTATGACATTATATGACTGCTACTTAAGATATGTCTAAAGGCTTTCCACATATCTTTCAAGGATCCGCTCCTCGGCGAACGCACAATCACACATAATAAAATAGACTACGATGTGTTGTTTTATTAAATGGATTATTTTCGTCATTGGACAAAATTTTAAAAACAATCATTTTTCAAATTTATTAAGCAAAATCGACCGTTTCTCAAAAAAATCAGCAAAACCGACCCTTTTCATCTGAAAAGGGTCGGTTTTGCTGGGATAAGTTTTTTCGAAATGCACGGGACTGCTAGTCCCGTGCATTTCGTTCTGTCCACGAAATGCACGGGACTAGCAGTCCCGTTCATTTAGTTGCCATTTAATTACCCTACCCGTGACTGACCCCCTCAAACACCGACTCCCCTTTTAACCCCTCCCCTCTCGCCATTTTGAATTGCGATAAGGTCACCACCCTATCATCGAATCCTCCTTCCATCATCGAATCCCCAATTGGGTTTTCAACATCTCAAGCAAGCCAGCCACATAATCTTAATATCATCACATTCATTAACCATTTGTAAGCAAGTAAAATAAACAACAAACAACAACAATGGAAACATCATTAAAACCAAACCTTTCATCGGGCTCCTTCTGCAAGCAGCAGGCGATGAAACTCCTAAACTCCCTCGAAGCGGTCGCTGACGCTTGTGGCGGGTTCGAGAAGAAGATGGCGCACATCAAGCTGGCCCAATGCCCATGCCCCCTCAAATTCTCCCCGAAAGGGAACTTGCCCAGGTAGAACTCGAGCACGCTCAGCCCGAAGCTCCGGATGTCGTCGGCGTACCCGTTGTAAGCCCCGTCATTGAGATCCGTGTTGATCCTCTCGGCCCCGTCGTTGAGATCCGTTTTGATCATCTCGGGGCTCATGTAGGAGATGGTGCCCACCGAGGAATTGCTGGGGTCCATGGTCTGGACCGAAGTTGCGAACCTGAAGTTGTGGACCGAAAAGGAGCAGCTGTCGGTGATGTTGATGGTGCCTCGGAGTTGGTGCTATACCATGAGGAGATCTGACTCGAATCTTGATAGGGGAGGGGTTCGAAATGGCGAGAGGGGAGGGGTTAAAAGGGGAGTCGATGTTTGAGGGGGTCAGTCATGGGTGGGGTAATTAAATGATAACGAAATGAACGGGACTGCTAGTCATGTCCATTTCGTGGACAGAAAACGAAATGCACGGGACTGCTAGTCCCGTGCATTTCGAAAAAAGTCTTTCGCAGCAAAACCAACCCTTTTCAGATGAAAATGGTCGGTTTTACTGATTTTTTTGAGAAACGGCCGATTTTACTAAATAAATTTGAAATATGGTTGTTTTTAAAAATTTGTCCTTCGTCATTTTTAGACTAAACAATTTCTAAATGTCAATCTAAACTTCCTAGTTTCTTCGTCAGCATGTTGAGTTGTTATCAATGTTTTAAATATCGGATGTCGGGTTCATGCCGGATAACTGAAATCCATATCGGATAGCGAAAATCGGGGATATATCGGGGGACATTGACTAAATATCGGATTGCCATATCGGGTGATGCACATACGTATAATATCACGTCGCACAAAAATCTGTGTATAGAATTTTGTTCTTAATTTTACAGTTTACTCATACACATAGATTATTTTTTGTGATGAAATATAAAGACTATTTTGATCGGAAAAGGACTGACATGCTAATTTGAATGGAAAACTTTTTGATAGTCACAAGGTTTGAGATTAAGAAGCAAACTTGTATAACAAATTCTTAACTAGTTGGTAGCTTCGTAAACAAAAAAAAGTGGAATGCTGAAAAATTCTTAAATTCTTATGAATCTTAACTAGTTGATAGTCCCATGAAAAAACTCGGGATGAAGGCTGCAAAGTGCAAGAAAAAAAAATCAACTATCGAAAGAGAGAGACTGAGAGCAACTATCGAAAGAGAGTTTGAGAGAGAGAGATGAAGAATAGTCGGGGGAGGGGGGGAACAGTCATACTCGACGGATGAAGAACTGAGGAAAGCTAGAGCATCGGCTTCCGATGACGAAGTGAAGAGAGAGAGGAGAAGGCGGCGCCGGAGAGGATCGATTCCGACATCCAGGGAGGAAGCGTCGGCAATGGCAAGGAAGCAAGAGAGTGAGAGACGAAGAAGAGGAAGACGGTTTATGGGTTCCCAGCGCGTTTGCCCTAGTTTTTTTATGTTCGGGTTGATTTCTCTTCAATCGGGTGACCCTTAACATCAGAACGGGTCAATGGGTTTGAGTTTTCATCACTAAACTCAAATCCAATAAGAAAAAATAGCTCTAAACCGATAACATGGCATATCGATCGATTTTTCAAAGCTGAAAAATCGGCCGATATGCCCGATATATCGCGGACATATCCGACATTCTTCTAAAAACCAATATTCGACTTAAAACCCCCCGACTCGTGTCGTTGGCACCTTCAATCCGACATGTCGATCTGACATGTCGGCCGACATGTCGGACATGTCGGCCGACATTTAAAACACTGTATAAATACACCTTATGTTGAGTAAAAAAAATGGCTGCAGAGATGATATTAATTCAGCCATAAAAAGGCTGATTGGCTGCTAGACAAGACATGCATTGCCTCATTGGTCCATGAACTCATGTAAGATGTAACCAGGAGGATCTGTGACCAACCCCTAGACTTTAGATGAACAGATGATGATGTTTCTAAAGGAGATTGTACCAGGAGGATCTGTGACCAACCCCTAGACTTTAGATGAACAGATGATGATGTTTCTAAAGGAGATTGTGTTCTTTAATGTTGTTGGCTACTGTCTAGAGATATGATCTGCAAGTTTGATGTTTCTAAAGGAGATTGTGTTCTTTAATGTTGTTGGCTACTGTCTAGAGATATGATCTGCAAGTTCAAAAATAGAAGATAAAAAGCATAATAAGTTTGTCTTGGACTCTAAGGGAAATGTTTAAGGATTACCGTATTAGTTAATTGGTTGTTGTTTGTTGTTTCACTTATTGTCCTCCAGTATGGTCTATTTTTTCAAACTGAAAGTCCTTTGATCTAGATGCATATGAAAACTTATGATTGGTCCCATGCTCTCTTTTCCAAGATTTTTCAACACAAGCAAATTGTGTCTTGCCGGAGATTGACATTATGTCTCTGAGATTCCACTCTGTGCTTCTTGTACTGCTGCCATGTTTTGTAAGAGAAGTATGCTTTCCATTATTTATGGAAGCTACGTAAGTTGCTTCTTTTTTCATGTTTACGGTTTTTATTTCACTTTCTGGTAAATGCGTTAGCTATTCATTTTCTGATTTTGCTATTACTATTGCGGCTTTAATGTGCATTTTGTATTACTATTGCGGCTTTAATGTACATTTTGTATTACTATTGCAGCTTTATTGGTCATTCTATATTCTTTGGACTGCTGTTATTGTTATATGCAGATACCTTCATCTGAAATTGATAGTGGCGAGAGTCCATCTGAAGTACAGAATGACGAGAGTCCATCTCAAATACAGAATAACGAGTGTCCATCTGAAACACAGAATGGCAGCAGGGACGGAGAAAACAGGACTAATAGTTCTGGACCTTGTTATATGTAAGCAGAAATACAAATAATGCAAGTGGTGCAAACACCATATCAGGAAAGCCGAACTTAACAAAGCAGAAGTGTGCCATTAAAATTTTTGTTCTTTTTTTGTCTTTTCTTTTTTTCTTAAAATAGCATCAGCTAATTACACAAGCAAAATCATGCGTAAAAAAATTCTTTACCATAAATAGAATTGTCAAGACAGTGGAACTATGGAGAAAAGTAAAGATTTTACTGAAGTAATGCATAGCATATGCAAGCTTTACCACTCCACAATCCTCTGAAACTTGAAGTTCCTTGAATCCATTCCGACTACAATTCTCAAAATCAAAGCAAGGCACTTTTGTTTTATGGCTGCTCCTCAGATCATCAATATTCTGCAATGTATTGAAGGATAAAAATTCTGAATCTAAGTAGGAGGTACTCAAATCTACTCTTCTATACTTATAGGAGGATACAAATAATCATTGTTCATGCCACAGTAAATACTACAGTAAATTACCATAGCATAACAACAAACTAGATTTTTACTGTTATGCTACAATATAGTACTGTATCATAAACAGTAAATCAGATCTGGACCTCTATACTTTCATCATACAGCATTTTACTGTATATGAACAGTAAAATAAATTAAATGTATTAGAACATGGATTCTCCTTCAAGTATAGAGGAGTGGATATGATTTATAAATCAAATGTATTAAAACTTAGATCATTCTTTAAGTATATAGGAGTAGATATGATTTCTAATTTTAATGGTGTGTTTGGGAGTTTACTTAGGGAAGGGAAGGAAGGGGAAGGAAGGGGAATTTTTCCCCTTCCTTCCCTTCCCCTCCATTACACCCCAATTTGGGGTGTAAGAATTTGGGCCAAATTTCCCCTCCATTCCCCTCCTCTACCCTCCAAAATAAAACTCCCAAACAAGATTAAAATAAAATTTCCCTTCCCTTCCCCCTCTCTACCCTCCATCCAAACAGGCCATAAGTGTACAATAATTAAATCAAATTTGTTAAAACTTAAGAGGAAGGCAAGTTCAAAATGTGGTGCTTAAAAAAAAGGGGGTCCGTGCTTTGCATGGGATGCACACTAGTTTTATCAACTATTGGTGCAAACCTTGAAGGTCAGAAATTCGTGATGTATCAAAATGCAACATCAATGTAAACAAGTACACGCATGTGTGTGTGTGTAAGATGGCTGTATGTTTTCGTATGTGAGCCTATATGAATTGGCCACAGTTTCTCCTAACATTGTCAAAATACTGCAAGATGGATTATACAAAACGACATAATTTGAAGGTAGCCACTTTAAGTAATTTTACAAAATATATTAAGCTCCCGAGGGTACTTTGATGATATTCTCTCTCTTTGATGGTATATAAGGAGTTCCTGGCAACATTCTGTGGAGTAGACTATATTATCTCCCGTTGGGGAATGTGAACCCATTTGGCTCTTTAACTTACTTTCTGCCTTAAGAGGTAAAACATACGATAATATAAAATCATTGGATGTTATATCTTCTTCTGGGTCAAGAGAATCTGGAGGCAGGTTCCCCTGTTGTGCACAACCTAAGGTCAAGATCTTATGTTTTAGTTCTCTCTTGTTCATAGCTAACCTAGGAATTTCCCAGCAAGACAGTCTGATGATACATTTACAGCCAATTACAAAAATGCTTTATTTGGTCAACAATCTGTGAAGCTTTTCGCAACTCTGGGTCGTGCTCCAAAGTTGACTCGATTTTGATGTAAGTTAGTATTGATGATGATCATGTTCTCTACCATAATGGTTTAAGCATAAAAGATGAGTTGCACTAAAACTAAAGTTTCGACAGAAAATATCTGCACCATCAGCAAATATAAGCTAATATAGTCTTTTGTGAATAGAGAGCTTTTATATACTGACTTCCCATACCTTAGTCAATAATGCTAAATCCAAGGAATTAAATTCATCATATTTGAAATCCTTCACTTGATCAGGCTTGTAATAACTCTCCAAGGAAATTACTTCACAGCCAACTATATTTGCCACTTTACGAGCCAAACTTGTTTTCCCAGATCCACTTGGACCACCTGCACGATTGCTCCAGAAACAAAGATTTCAAACTTTAGAAATAAATCACTAACTACAGAGTTATGAAGAAAGGTTATTGGTCTAAGTGAATTACAAAAGTAGCAGAGAATAGAAGATGAAACACAGAACAGACAGTAGAAAGTAACGACAACATACCACGAGAATAACTTCCACAACAATAAATGATCTTTCTTCTTGCGGAAGTCATTTTTGTTTCAGATTCATTAAGAGTGCAGTTAGGAATAAAAAACCGATAGACTTGAAAGATAAAGGCCAAAAAAATATGCCTTATCTCAAATAGAAGCCACCAAATCTGACATCCCTCTTTTTGTTTGTCCTGCCCCTTTTTATTTCTCGGATGATCTACTTCTCCACTCAAATTGTAAACCTCCCCTTTCTTCGCTTCCTATCCAAACTCTATCTAACACAATCTATTTTAATTAAAACCCATCCTAAACATTTGTACCCAATATATCCACAGTAGAACTCAAGCACATATGTGTCATGAACAATGTTCTATAAAAACTGTCAAAAAGAACATTAAATATCTGGAAACAGTTCCTATCAGAGGCTTCTCCACAAAGGGAAGAAAACATCCCACCCTTAAAAAGCCACAGCAATAAAGAAAATTGAATAAATATACACAGGTTTAACGCATGACAAATTTGTAAAACTTTCAACGCTTTATGCCCTATAGCATATCAAGTTTTTTCATTGCCTTCTGTATAAGTCCTTTATTAAGGTTACTCTTGTAATTTCTTATTCTACTTCATCCAGATGTATGCTCTGTTAGGGTTCATTTAGTCCTTCATTGATTGACTAAATGGGGAGTCATTATGGGTTTATAAGAAACTGGGATTTCCTCCCTCTAATAGCTATGTTTTAGGGGTGAGCCTCCCAGGTCTATTACAAAGGAATATCAGAGCCAATCCCATCCTTCCAGTTGGCAAGTGAGTGACGCAGGTCAGCAGGTGATGATGTCGCATCACAGTGTTCACCTGGGGAGATTTGGGTTCCCTCCTCTAACAGTAGCTTTTAATGGTGAGTTCTCCTAGGTCTCTTACATGCTTTCTTATGCCAAATTCTCAGTGAAAATGGTATCAAAACCCCAACTTCACAGGTAACACCTAGTATCTCATCTAATCTCATTTTCTTCCATCTAACCTTCCAAGAAAAAGAAATAAAACAACGAACTGAGGAAAGGCGATATAGTTGGGATAATTGTTAAGTTTAAAATCAATAAACAAAGTTAAAAAAGTGTTGCACCCTCCACATGCGATCACAAGAAAAATGTCACCTAAGAATATCCCTTTAACCCTTGTCGTCCTATGAAATGGATTAAATTGCCAGATTGTGTAAAGTAAAGCACATCAACATGTGAGGCTTGGCGCAACGGTAAGGTTGTTGCCTTGTGACCTGGAGGTCATGGGTTTAAATTCTGGAAACAGCCTCTTCGCATGTGGGGGTAAGGCTGCGTACATCTGACCCTCCCCTGAGCCCACAATGGTGGAAGCCTCGTGCACTGGGCTACCTTTTTTTGGGAAGCATATGCTATTCTAGCAATAGGTATGGCCTATGGGCAACTTGAGGTCTTGCAATGAAGTTGTTCCTTATAAATTAATGGAAACTGAACAATGCACCATGGAATGAGATTGTCAGATAATGTTGCATAGGATCTCACAAATATCAAGTAAGACGGAGCAAATGGTCTTAAGAATAGGCAATTTATATTAATAATGTATACGAGGTTCGTGATATTTGTTAAAAAGAAGCAAAAGGAGAAGGGGCTTTCTGAAATTCTAGGATGGATGGGCACTTGCCTCATAGACTCGTGCCCAGCTCCATCCCTGCAGTAAATATTTGCCTTTGCCACTTCAAAAATAAAATAAAATCCTTCTCTGGCTTATCATTTTTATCCTTGTTACACTCTTTTGCCTAATCTATCTCTCCTATATTTTCCCTTCAACTTAACCATCTATCACAGAAAAACTATAATTCAGAAAAAATGTTATATACCTTTAACCAATGCTCCTGGCACCTAGTATGATTTCTCTTAAATCTTAATGCATAATCAGATATGCAACTGTTGCAATTAGCATTCAATATTTAAGATTCTATATAGAAGGACCAAAAAGAATCGGAGGTGGATATGCTTTCTAAATTGTCAAGGCTTCTTACTACTTAGATTTCTTCGAAGGTTGTTCTCAGAATGCAATTATCATGATAAATGGCTGGAAAAGCAATTCATTATGATGACCAGCTTGAGATATTTTGCACCAAATAAAAGAACAATGCAGAACCAGCCTACAAATACAAGACATTAGGGAGGCACAGAGATTAAGCTGTAAATTAAATGCATAGAACAATCATCAATTACTTTTGATCTAATTCAATGAATAAGGAGGTGCATCCATCACCTATGCCAACAACAACTGGAAACCCCTTGTTCTCCAACAAAGCCTGAAATAAAGGAACTCATTTAAAAAAAAAGAAGACTATGAGGCATTGTATTGAATGCCCTTTTTACTTAAGATAGCAAATTATAAATATGATTTTTTTCTCTCATTTACTAGGATAAGCACCTGTATAGCTTGAACGGAGAAAAACAAGCCCCTATCCACATCATATGAATCTGCCATGGGAACAAGCTGGATGTTACCCCTGAAAGCAGAAGAATCTGCAGTTGTTTCATAAGAGAATCTTATAATTATATAGTAAATGAGTCATGAAATCAGACTTTCTTTTTCATATAGGCGTCTAATACAACTATAGTATCATAGAATACATTATGATACTTGGGAAAAGTGTACATTACCATAGACAATAGTGAATCTATCATCTAAAAGAATTGAGTTTAATAAAAAGTTAAAAACCTGAGACAAATCTCCATTTTGGAAGTACAGGATCCATGTGAGACTTTGTCGGAGATCGAGTCCATGGCTGGGTAAGATCCCCAAGCTTGTGAGGCATACTTGTAGGTAAGCGAATTGGACGGGGGGCAGCAATGGTCCTTTCCTGGCTTCCAATCGCAAGCGTACCAGACAAAGGTGGAGGAGTATTAACACGTGGTACGCCTGACATTGATAAGCAATAACCATCAAGAAGATTACTTCCAATATCCAAACACAAGTACACGGCCTAATCAGTAGCTGAACTGTAGAATTACAAGGAGCAATCATCTTCACATTAAAATACATATCAGACCATCGAAATTGATTATTACATAAAGCAAACCAAAAAGGCTAACATATATGTTGAACTATCGCACTACCGGGAGCACATGATCACTTTAAAAGTACATGTCAGATCAACAAATTTGAGTAAGTGAGTTCATATATGTTGAACTCTGGCACTACCGGCAGCACATGTTCACTTTAAGTACATGTCAGACCATCAAATTTGATTGATGGGTAGGTGGGTGGGTGAGGGAAGGAGACGTTTCTAGAAGTAAAGCTAGGTATGTGAAATACAAAGTGGCTTCTGGTTCTCATCTCAAAAACACGCCTTGATTTTTCAAGGATAAACGTTATAAAAGAGAATGACAAAAAGCAAGTTCTTGGGTTAAATTCATAGATCCCTTTCTGCCTGGGAATCACTATTGTCACAGAATTCTCAGCCAAAAAGCCTCCAAAGATGGATCTATTTGACTTGAACCAACCCTTTGAACAAGTGTTGAATTTACAGCCAAGGCAAATACAAGCAAAAGAGGGCTTGCTGCTGATATTGAAAATTAGTCGACAGATATAAATACTAGACAGTTCTTTAAAGTTTGATTTTATGTAAGTAGAGAAGCAAACCCCAAAACTTGCAGATCATAAGATGTGATGTAAAAAAGATTATTCACCTTTAAGGGCAAATACAAGCTCAATAACCAAATTGAAAACACATCCCACGTTGTGTGTCTATACAGTTCAGGTGTAAGGAAGGTCCATGCTGTAAGATGAATGTAGAAGGAATGACTGCTAAGATGGATTAGGCATAAATCAGAAGCAGATTTAGAACATAGCCCCAATGATAACTACACTATGATGAGAGGACAAATGAAAGAGCATCTGGGCAGACCCCAGCCAAGCGATGTCTACTGAAAAACCAGAAACAGTAATAAAAGGCACATATATCAGGATATGGATTGAAAGCGACCAAGCAGCTGCACCAACACCAAATGCAGTGTTAAAGAAAAAGAAAAGGAAAGTGGAAAAATGGAAAGAGATAAAGACTGTTTGAACTCAGAGACAGGAAAATGGAAAATGGAAAATGGAAAATGGAAAAATGGAAAGAGAGAAAGATCGTTTGAACTCAGAGACCCGCTCCATGCAGCCGAAACAGATTAGATGTACATGATCATGGTTAGAGATAAAAGCATATATGCAAACTGAAAACATACATATATCGAGATGTAAAATGTATAGATGCATGCATATATCTACATATGTTAAAGTTACCAGAATAGATATGAATATACCTTTAGCTTCTAGAATCATCTCCAAGTATGATTTAGTGTTCCATGGACCCTTAACACCTAGCCTGCATGCTTCCGCTCCAATCACCTGTATTCCAATTAACAAAAAACATATATGAACAAATAAGATCTCAAACCATCCTTATAGCTTGAAAGTATAAATTTAAAGTGGTCAGCAAGAATAGTATATTGTAGGGCTAAAATTCAATGTCCCATCAAAACCAAGAAGAGAATATCAAATCCTATATCAGAAACACCCAAGAAGAGAATATTAAATCCTAGATATTAATATACAAGAGAATAGAGTATAAGTACTTGTGCACCATGTCTATGAAGTATGAACAACTGGGTCTATATACGAAAAAATAACTTTATTAGATGGCTTCGCTGCAAATAGGACATACCCTTGTTCTACTATAATAGGTACCTAATAGTATAATCAGACCAGGAAGCAGCGATTATTATGCTCCAACCATAAGACTGACACAAATTTTTTGAATTAAATAAGTTAGAAGTAATAGCCATAAATACATAGGTTCTTGCTAGTTGAAAACAACCATTTCAAAAAAAATCCAAAACATAATACTACCAAAGTAATTTTGGTGCTTCAAACTTTTAATTTTGTCCTGCAACTGTCATTATTAGTCAATAATGGCTTGTATTAGTCGTTCTTAGCATATTGATAAGTGTTGGCCAGTTTCAACTGGAGTTGATAAATGTTGAGTCTATTGACCATTATTTAAACTATGTTTTAGATTTTGCAGCAATTCTTGATAAATTAAAATGTGCTAAATAACTATATGGAAGGTTTCTACCACGTGTTAAGAAATACAAACCTTCCTGCTTGTACCCTTCAATACAAGAAATGTCTCATTAAGAGTGTCAATGCTTTCAAGCGCCAGCAAGATTTGCCCGTTGTGGAATGACGTACATGAACGTTTATAACTAACAACAACATTGTATCCTAAAGCAAGCAATCCACCTAGAGTAGTCCGCCCAACCTGCAACGAGTTGACACACAGGATGTAATAAATAATGAAAACAAGGAATCAAAGTAAGTATCATGGTTCAAAATCGAGAAATAAAAGAGCATCAAAAAATGAATGGATTGCCATCTTCAGTATCTTTATAACTTTATGTCAAAAATAAATAGCAAAGAGTTAAAAAAATGAATAGAAAAAAAGAGTTATATGTGAAGGCGGTCAAGAAAACGTATGTGAGAAATAACCCAATCATATTCAAGTGAAGAACAAAGGAAAACGAGCCCAGATATGTTTTATTCCATGTGCAAATACATGTGAAAAAAACAAGTTAAATTAGTATTATCAGTTGCTGGACAAATGCACCGTCATGACGCATCCATCTTTTAGATGAGAAACCAACAACAAGAGGAATTTTTTTATCATTTTAATTTTCAAAAACAAAATGTTGAATTATGACAAAACTGCAAGCCACAGTGAAACATCTCCCATTTTATTTTCTTTATAGTAATAGCTTGTGATTTCAACCATATATGAACAGTGTCTAGATAATAGACTTGATTTCTATACTGTTGCCAACACCGAAGGATTAGCTAGTTGGTAGACATCACATAGAGAGGTTTTATATACCTCAAATTCAGCTTTCGGACGAATGATGAAATTCTTGTCAACAATTCTCTGATCACCTAATGACAAGTAGTATCTGATACCGCATTGCCGAACCTTTATCCAGTCATTTATCCTTGCTTCTTCACTTGCACGTGGTGGGCGGAGGTACATCTCGATGAAGCTAAAATATATTGAACAATAGAGATAACTCAGTAACTATCTATAAACTAAATATAGAGAAACTAAAATAGGACAAATTGCATAAAAAACTTTATCGTTTTCCTTTTAAAAAAATAGATAACCCTCATTCCATCCCAAGAACCAAAAAAAAAATATCTCCCACACAAAAGCCTGCAAAAACATGTATCCACATGCATATGAACATACTCAGATGCATATGTGTGCAGTAACACACACAGGTGTGCGCATGCAAGGACACAGAGCATGTGTGTGCAAGGATGCATGTGCATACTCATGCACACATGGCAAGAACCATTGGTCTATATCCTTGTAGCCAAAAAGGTTAGGATTTTGCTTCCACCATAAGGAACAAATGGCACTATAAGGCAATTTATAAGGGTAACATGATCTAAGCTGAGCCCCCAAACTGACTCCATGCTAATTAGATGATGGCAAGAGGGTTAGTAACTTAGTAATAAATGGAATATGCAGAATGGTTTTGAATGAAAAAGCATAAACACAGGTTTTCAACAATTTCCCCAAGAACATATCTGTGACAGATTTATATAAAAGTTAAAGTAAGGAAGCTGGCATAACAAGCCTCAGAAATGAACAGTCGAGAAGTAGAAAGCACTCACTTTTCTGTTTCTGCTCCACTTTGATCAAAAGGGTAAACTTCATGCCCATCCACAGACTATCCAAAGAAAAAGTATTGTTACAACAGAAGAAAATGTAACAGAAAAGTTTTAAACAATTAACTGCGCCAGCGACAGGTGTACTAAAATACCCAAATAACGTATAAGCTTTGCATGAAGCGGAGATGTGTATAGCCCTATATGAAGGAAAATATATCCTTAAGCCATGAAGCGGAGATCTGCATATCCCAATACAAAGGAAAACATATAATTGACACCGTAATCTATCTTTAATAAACCAAGCATCAAATAGATAACTGCCTCCAGAAGGAACAGTGTCAATGCCAATCCCAATCATGTCCACGAGGTCGAGCAGAGCCAATACTTAATTTTTATTTTTTAAAATTTATTTTAACTTTTGATTCACGTATTCTAGATTTTTCTACTCCATCCTACTCTCCTCCTTTCTGTTCTTCTCTTCTCATATTTATGTGGCTCTTCATTTTTGGTACTATCAGTGCCTTTTATCGTCATTGTTGCTTCACTTAGGGCCTGTTTGGTTATTTCCTAAAAAACCAAGAAATAGAAATGAAAACCAAGAAAACTCAAAAAGTACAATTTCATCCATTTCCATCACTAAAACTCACCCACAACATCTAATAAAATATTATTTTTATCTAATAACTCATCAACCACATCTAATAAAATATTATTTTCATCCAACAACTCATCCACCACATCCATCACATCTAATAAAATATTATTTTCATCCAACAACTCATCCACCATATCTAATAAAATATTATTTTCATCCACAACATCACTCAACTCATCTCATCTCATCATTTCAAATCACTCACATCATCCAATAAGATGGTGACAACTCATCTCATCTCATTAACATTTCATTTCCACCCATTTCCTCCCAAAAAGCTAGGAAAATAATTTTCTTAAGTATGGGTCACATCATCCAATAATATAATGACAACTCATCTCATCTCATCTATTTTATTATTTTTAAGAATGAACTAAACAAAAGAAAAGAACATATTATAAGAAATATGTTTCTTATAATTCATTTTCTTATTTTTTTTGCCAACCAAACAACATCAAAACAAGTTTTCTTAAAAAATCACTCACATCATCCTATAATAAGGTGACAACTCATCTCCATTTCTTTGATTTTCTTCTTTTTTTAGCAAACCAAACACTCCCAAAACAATTCTTATTAGAAATAGTTTTCCATTTCTTTGATTTCTCACTTTTTTAGGAAACAAACAGACCCTTATCCTCCTCTCTCCCCTCTCTTTTCTGCCTTTTGTTGACCTCTAAGTTTTGTCATTTATCACCTAATTTTAATACTTAAGTTGTGCTAAAGAACTAGGCGCTAAGCTGCAAGTCCACCACTTAGATCAAACCAACAATTTTACTCAACGATTTCAGCGAGTAGGCTTCTTTCTTTTAATGATCTTTATTAGCATATTACATTAAATGCATTTACTCTTGATTTTACCTAACACAATGACACCAGTTAAATAAAACTTGGGTTAAACGATATCTAGCAGAAAAAAACACTAGAAATATTTTTTTAAAAAATTTGGCCAGAGGGTTTTGTGAGACATACAAAATAGACTAATGAATTGCTACCTATGTTAAATGGGTATGGATTCCAGTATGAGTGCGGATACAGGTAGGGGACATGACAAATTTGTAAAAAGTGGGTTACAGAGACATAGCTATATACATATATTGAAATTAGTAATTTACATAAGATCAATATCATTTTTTCGTTCACATGTTATGAGACTCAAAATTACTATAACATTTTAAATTGCTTTTATTATGTAGGGTATAAATTGGAAAACCGCTCGATTTTGAGCTATGCCCCCAACGAATTATAATGTTATAGTTCTGAACTGGTATTGCTTGAAACAGACCAAAACCATGTCCAACCCGACCCATGTCCAATGAATTTCAGGAGGTGGATGTGAAGCATGGTATAAATGCACAAGAAGTATATACAAGTGTTCTGAACTAGAAGATGTATTATATAATTGGGTATGTCTGAATAAATATATGTGTATATTCAAGGAGTGTCTTTGACCGGTATGGGTACAATACATGGAAGTGTTCAAGAAGCGTCGGTGTGCAGTATGTGTCGAGTACAGGTATGGTTTCATGATGATAGAAGTACAAAGGTAAATTAGATTTGTACTAATCAAACTATGTAGCACTATAGTGAATGCATCTGCTATGGGGAACATCAACCATTATACATAATACATAAACATCGTACACTATGTCAAAAAAAAAAGATACAAACCTCACTTTTACACTTCAGTTTATAGTAAGGCTCTCTGAAAGAAGAAACAAAACTATTGTTGATTCTTATCTGTAGAAAAAGAATACCCAGATAAAAGATAAATAACCAGATAACATACGAATAACACACAAGTAACCAGAAAATTTTACCTGAGCATGATGAAGATCTGGCTCAATGTGCTTCCTAAACAATGGGAATATGCTGTCAATGAGATAGTCCAATGAACATGTGTCTCCAATGTCATGTTGAACCTTAGAAAGAAGGCTGAAATGAACACCGCCAACCTGAGATGCCAACTAGTTCATCAAGCAATTTTTTTTCACTTCCTTTTTTAATCTAAAGTGGAGTTGAAGTTTATAGCTTTACCACAGCAACTCTAATATCAAGTAGAGATCGTAGTATAGCGTGCAAAGCATAAGCACCATCCACAATTACCTGTACAATAAAGTTTTGATTTTGGAAAACGCAACAAAAAATACAGAACTGAAGGATATCCTTTATAAATGAGAGAATTCAATAGGAACCAACCACTCCAGATAAAGGAACCTTTACTGGCTTCAGACCAACGTGTCGTTTTTCTTGAAAATCAAATAATGGCACCAGGGTGTCCTTACCCTTCACCAAATCCTAAACGTGCAAAGTCACATTATGAGCTTGGAAGAAAAAGAGTATAGCTATTAAAAGCTAGTGAAAAATGAAATGAAACACGATAACATGGAATGTAGTTTTCTCACACAAGTAGAACAGTTGCAAGCTTTCTTTCCTAAGGTTAAGTCAAATTTTTAGTAAAAGTCGATGTGTTTACTTCAACTTGTAGTGTTAAGGTTAAAGTTACAAGCAAAACTATTGAAAACAAACACTAATAAAGGAAATCACTTTCTTTTCTTCGGTCAGGTAAAACTTCCTTCACTTGAAAGAAATTCAAGTTTTTCAAGCTGAATAGCACTATTGTTCATACCATTCCATCTAAATATGTCTCTCAATTAACACCATCAAGTCTTTTTGAAGGGATAGGGGGAGAAATTGTTCCCCAATCTTTTCCACACAAACATTCCATCTAAATCTAGTTCATAAATAAATTATAAGTTAAAACCAATCAACCATGTCAAACATTAAACATGTACAGCTTCATTATTCAACCACAGCAATTGAGTTAATTAACTACAAAGTTACAAACTTCATATATAGTGAGAATTAGCTATCTACATTTTTAGTCAAACCAATCTACCAAGTCAGGATCCAGTATAGACAATTTGATCAATCAAACGGAAAATTTGGGCTAATCAATTCCAAACTTTGCATCTAAATGAAATCAGCTCTTCTAAAATAAAACAAAAAGAACCTGCAAATTGCCAACAAGAGCATCGAAATCTATGGAATCCAAATCATTCCCATCATCTGTTCCCCTCCGGTAATTCTCCATCGAAATCACCACACACCCGAGAACCGAAGCCACCTTCTCTGCCAAGCTACAATATCAAATAATATATTATAATAATTAGAATACCAAAGTTAAAACTTTAGGCCATTATTTGGGCAAATATAAACCTCAGAATACCAAAGTTAAGAATCTTTAAATTTTAGAACGCCAACCCTTAATAGTAATAGTAATAATAATAATAATATCAACAACAACAACAGCAACAATAATGCTAACTAAAATTCATTCCAAAAACAAAGAACTAACCTAGTTTTTCCAGACCCACTAGGGCCACCAATCCCAACAGTAACCACATGCCCCTCCTTCTTCTCCCTGAGCTCTTGAATAGCTTTCACCAACAAATAGTACCCATGATCAAAAGACTGCGAAACTAACGCCAATCAGTCAAGATTAATCGTAAAAATCAAATTTTGGGATCTGGGTTTGGCTCAAAATTTAATTACCACGTGGAGAGGGAGCGATTGGAGAATCGAGGAGGCTGATGGGGTTGGAGATGGAGGGGAGTTGGGGGAGGAGTTGAGCCTGCTGGTATTGATTTGGGTTGATGAGGGGATGTAGTAATCCCTGCCTCCTTCTTCTAGAACTCTCTGAAGGAGCTCGTTCTCCATTTTTTTTTTTTTTAATTTATGAAGGTTGGGGAGAGAGAGAAGAGAGAAGAGAGAAGAGAGAAGAAAGATGAAGAAAGAGACAAAGGGCAAAAGTGAGGGAGTTTTTATTTTTGGGTTTTCTTTATAGTCCCTCAAATCTTTCATATTTTAAATTGGTCCTTCAAACACTTAAATTAATGTTAGTTCCCGAACTCTTCAGTTATTTCGAAGTTAATCCCTCAAACCAGACTCTATGCTAGTAGATCCCCTTATTCTTGAGTTCTTTTGAAATTAGGTATTGAGCGGTATTAACAATTTAAAGGAAATTACCCGCTCAATTTTCTAAAATTGCTATTAGGTCTCTCAAATAATCTTTTTAATTTCTATTTCTACTCTTGATCGGGGGAACTATTTCAGAATAACGTAAGAATTGCGGAATCAATTAGCAATTTCGATAATTTGAGGCACTAATTTTAAAATAAATAACATTTAGATAGACTTAATAATAATTTTGAGAGGGACTAATTCAAACTATGATATTCTTTTGTCTTTGAGAACTGTTATCCTTTCTTGCAAGTTTTAAACACCTCCAATTAAGGCGCTATACATGTGAGTACGTGAAAGTTTAGTAATTTAAATTGCCCAAAGGTTTGTATACTGACGACAAAAAATCTCTTTTTAGTTTTAACTAAAGTGAACTTTTCTCATGTGTAGGTAAGTTATTTATGAGTAGTGCTCTCACATAAATAATTAATAATTAACTAGAGAAACCATCCTTGGGTTATTATAAAAGTAAACTAATTTTGAATAATTCACTTGTAGTAAATTAGATTGTTTTAGTTTTTTTTTTACTTCTTTTAGAAAAACGGAGTTTCAAACTGTTCCTACTTCTGATCTGTTGTCGAAACAAGTCAATTGAAACGGAAATACATTATTTTCAATATACTTCAGTTTTTGAACAATTTTTGGAGTTGCAAACAATATGTCATCCATCAAATGTTATATTGAAATATCCGCACGGAACTTCAATTATTTCTATCCAAAACACACCAAGACGTGTAATGTAAGGATTGAAAAGGAGAAATTTCCATTTTTGGCCTTTTTTAAAATTTAATTATCAAATTCAACCTACATAGCACTTAATTATCAATTTCGATCCAGTTTCAGCCACCTAGGTGGGTGGCTGAAACTAGATTGAAAGTCATAAAAATGTGGAGAAAATTACACGGGATTCTCAATCTTGTGTAGTTTAAAACTAAGCTAAACTTGTACGGGATTGTGAATCACATGAAGTTTATAATAAATAAACTAGTTGGCTACATGATTAGCTCATTGCCATATAAGTTATATGTTGTTGAAAGGGCCATGTAATATATATTTTTAAATGTTTAGTGGGGTAAGTTCATGTTGTCTCTCATGAGATTCTCAATCCCGTGTAATTGTTTGTACTTATTTATCAATTTAGACCCAATTTCTGTTACGTGGCTGAAAACTAAGTCGAAAATGATAAATCCGTGCAAAGTAGGTCGAATTTGATAATTAAGTTTTAAAAATAGTCGAAAATAAAAATTTGGCCTGAAATTATATATTGAACTCCCCAAACATTACAAAAAAAAAAAAAAACTAGGCAGAGATTCAAACCCTCTCCTTCTACATTACATGACTTATAGAAAAGAACAATTTTTCACTTCAGCCTCATTCTAATTTTTTATTATTAAAATTGACCCCCTTTTTTTTATTTATCAAAACCGACCCGATTTCGTGATTAGCAGCTTAATCACCTTCCTAATTAGTCGGGGTTGCCAACCCCGACTATTTAGGACATTAATTTGTAAGGTTTAAGGCTTCTAATTAGGGTTTAACACCCTCCTAAATAGTCGGGGTAATTAGGGTTTAACACCCTCCTAAATAGTCGGGGTTGACAACCCCAACTAATTAGGAAGGTGATTAAGCTGCTAATCAAAAAATCAGGTCGGTTTTGGTAAATAAAAAAAAAGGGTCGATTTTAATAATAAATAATAATAAAATTAAATGGGACTGAAGTGAAAAATTGTTCTATAGAAAATGTAGTAACCACTAAGCCCACTACACAGGTATTGGCAATCTGTATAGTTTGTTTATTATAAATTCCACGGGATTCACAATCCCGTAGAGATTAGCCTAATTTTAAAACTACAAGGGATTGAGAGCAGGCCAGCTACTAAGGAAGAGGATGATAGTGCCAACATTTAGTAGGGAAATCTGAACTTGAAGCCCGCAACGAAAGAAATGCCCTCAATAATCAAAGTCCGTTCACAATCCATTGACAATCTTTAGACTGCCACCACCTCATTTTCGAAATTTGAAAAATGAACAAATTTTTTATACGCATTTTTCTAGTTTAACCTGCCTGACGATTTGTGCGATCAGACTCGACGTCTCACCTGACACTCGCCCAGGCATCATTCGGAGACGACCAAGAATCCAATAAGCGGATGGTTCAGATGGTTTCAAGACGACAGAATGAACAAGCTTATAAAAGAGAATAATACTTTGTAATAATCACATTGCTTTCAGCAGGCATTTTCAGCATAAAGGTTACACTCTTGCTTTTAAGAGGGTGTAAATTCTGGAAGGACAAAATTTGATGGTCAGACGACTGAAGAAGGGTAGAAGATCCCCCAAAGGGAGCACCTTCATGTTTCTCTTCCTCTTTTCTATTTTCCGCCGAGAGATACATACTCAATATGCAATCCAATCACCAATTTAGAATGTGGCTTATGCTCTAGTTTGTAAACAGCATAAGACTATTAATTACCTGGATCACTATCGATCTTTCTAAGGATAAGCTATGACAAGGCAAGATCTAAACCTTTTTTATTTTATTTTATTTTGGAGAATTCACTTTGCTTTTACTCAATGAGAGGAATCAGGCCTGATGCCCTAGCCTTTTATTTCTCCTTGCGGTCACCTCTGCTGCCCACCTCTTCCCTACATCGGTCTGAAATTTGCCTGCAAGGTGGTAATTTTTGAAGCCAAAATAATTTGAGAGATCTGAATAAAGCTAGGTTTTAGCTATGTTTCTCAAATGATTAGTAGCTTCTTTGTACCTGCTGTTGAAAGAAAGAATTCGTCCAAAACCTTTCCATGGTCTGCAAGAAATTCAGGATAAATGATGAATTAAAGATTAGATAAGGTTTTCCATCAAAAAAATATTAGATGAGGTCAATGTGTGGGATTAATAGAGTGCTTCTTATTATAATACAACACATCAGAAAATGAGCACGCTTGTGAGAGGCCCCAGTTCTATGAGAAAGAAAACAGTTCAATTGCAGATATGTTTTCAAAATTATTAAAACTAATGATTTGTAGCCTTATATGTGGGAAATCATTATCAATGATTTATTGGTCTTTAGCAAGCGATGCATGTTTGCAGCATATAATCTTTCAATGATAATCTACTATACGATTGATCAATAAAAACATGCACACATGGTCTGTTCGATGTCCAACGCCAGTAAGAACATAGGGGATATAAAAACACAGAGCTGGTATCACAATTGCAATTGTGTAAAATAAGGAAATTATGCAATATCTTTTTAGGGGATGTACGATCTAAATGCAAAAAACAGTCCACAGCCGCACGAACTTCCAAAAGGTAATATGTGATAATTCATGTGGTCACGGTGTTATTTGTTATGAGAGCATGTCTGTAATTTTCAACACAAACACCTAAGTTCAATGTTTTAAACCCCAAATTGACAAATATCCCAAAGAACTTCAGTTTGCGTGTTTGAATTGCCATGAGAAATAAAAAATTATGTTACTAAATGACAAGACTTTTTATAAGTCCAAAAGAACTACAATAGCATTTCAGAACAGGAATAAATAAAGAAATAAGGCATGTGAATCACTTGCACTCTAAGCAGAAAATCTGTAGTTAATAACATGACATAATATAAAGAAATAAGGCATGTGAATCACTTGCACTCTAAGCAGAAAATCTGTAGTTAATAACATGACATAATAGTCTCTTAGTCCTTAATGAGAAAATATGCAACAAAACAAAGCAATGGACACACACGCACACATAAACACACATAGATACATATAACAAAAGGGAAACTAAATCAAGATGAGAAAAGAACACATACCCATTTCATATTCCAAAGCTTGAAGAATCATTTCGACCTGCATTTATATGATACTGGTAAGTGATTTTCCAAATCTATATGGACCTTACTCCCCACTAAACACACATCGACTGTATATTCAAATATTAAGGGACATATAAATCAATACAAAACGTTCTTGTAACTCAACACAATTATGAATTAAAAATGAATAAATAGGGTTTCCATTCAACATGGCGATGTGATATAAATAAAGCTAAAACAAATAAATCTGTGGTTTCTCAAGGGGGAAAAAAAGAAGATAAGTTAAGAGAGGTTTAGATGATACTTTGTCAAAATCCTTCACAAGACTAGCCTCTATTGAAGCATTGTTTTCATAATCTGCCCAAAGCTCCTTTATTTCATCAGCTGCACACAAAACAAAGCACAATATTAGGTAACAATGCTTTTGTAGCACACTGATGCATATACATAAAAACATTGTGTACCCCTTGATCCTCCACCAATGACTTCACACATTTCATTCAGAGCCGCCTGCTCACGCCTACTCTTTTCTTCTTTAGGAATTCCATCCGAGACTTCACACATTTCATTCAGAGCCGCCTGCTCACGCCTACTCTTTTCTTCTTTAGGAATTCCATCCGAGGGTGTGATATCACCAACAATAGCTATCAAAATCAAAAGCCCATTAAGCACGCAGCAGAATAGACATCAATAAAATATGTGTTCATATAGTATGACAGATGCAATAATTGGAATGGACAACCATAAGCATGTAGGAGAAGGCTATGATTAATGCAGATTAAACACAACCCAAACTGACTGAAGAAAAACAGCCGAAGTTATTTTACCTTCGGCAATGTCATGCACGATGGCAATCTTGATACACCTATTTTAAAAGAGAGATGTATCAGGTCAACTTTAACATGAAATTTTTAGAAATGACTAGCTTCAGTGCTAAGACAAAATCAAAGATATAAAAAGAATACAGGATGAAACACAATATGACGAAGTTTGAGAATATTTCATGCATGAAAAGCATTCAATTCTCATTCAAATACACTGTAAAGAAATGGTAGCAAGACATATAATTATGGTACATGGGATAATGAATCTCGGGGCTCTTTGTACATCATCTGCAAAACCCCTTGCTGCTCATAGATGAAGTCGCCAAAGACAAGTACTTGGAGATAGAAATACATGCTAAGGCATCCTAAAGACAAGATGCTTTTCTAAAGTACTATCTTTTTTGTGGCCTAAAGAAAGCAAACTCAATAAAATAGAATAGTTATGGACAAATGGAAAAAAAAATTAAAGAAGAAACTCACTACCAAAGCATAGTTTGTCACAGGTATGTGATCTAAATTGAAGCTAGATAGAACTTGGAAATTAGAACATATAAACAGAGAACTTCAGACAGCTTCAACGAATCATGCACATAAAACCATAACCATTATCATTAAAACTTGTCTTGAATATAATTCATCAACTTAATTGGAAATTGCAAATTTCTCGTTAGGTTAAGAAAATATATTGAACTAGAAGCAAAAGTAATTAATTATATAAGGAAAAAGAATAAATAGGGTATCAATGAATGAACTAACAATATACAGAACAAAATAAAGGACATAATCAGAGAGTTAAGAAAGAAATGCAAGGTAGAGTCATCAATAGGTAGACACTAACCTTTCTCTATTGACACCAGGAAGATCTTCAGCGATCAGGGCCATTAACGCCATGCGATACATGTGGTCAGCAATTGACTCAGGGCCCTTAATTCCATGGTTGATCCATCCCTTCCTTTTTGTCGTCTAAGAATGAAACAATTACAAATAAAAAAAAAGAGTCCAAGAAAAAGAAGCAACTGAGTTCGTATAAATAACTATATGCAGACCGTCAACCCAAAAATATGCATGGTGCTGATATCTGCAAAATGGCATGACCGGTAGATTGCAGAACATATTGAAAAATACAACCATCTCACACTAATGCGTCAAAGGAAAAGTGAAAGAAGAGCACAAACTAAAGAAGTAAAAATGTGAATCATGCATAAAATGATTACTGTATCATGTTCAATCTGGAAGCTTTACTCGATAAGCTCTCGATCATAAATAATATTCTTAAGTAGGTAACATGGAGTACAAGCATGTATCCTTATTCTTAACTAAAGTTCAGTCTTTACACAAAGTCTGGGTAGTTGTGCCAATTGTCAAAGTAGAACCTTGCATAACATCTAGCTAGCATTGACAACGTAGTAAAGTTATTAAGGAAGCACCTCCATACACCTGCCCGGATTATGGCTGAGTCAAAAGAATCAAAATTTCTAAATGTAGGACAATAGCAAACAAGAGGCATTGTATGTTTATTTCATATCAATGTAGAAAAGGACTGCAGAGTTTTTTTGTTTCTAATGCATCTTTTAATGTATTTTGTTTTGTTACTGTTGAATCCTGATACTACTTCAAAGGAGACACTAACAATTACAATATATGATCATTGAGCTGTAATTTTCTTCTAGTTTAATGCTTAATCTATACTACTTATAAAAGAGAATACCCATGTCAAAACTTTTAATTTTCCTTTTTACCCTCTCAATTTTTTATCTCTCACAATTATATCATTATTTATAAAACTAATGAATCATAACCTCTCATTAACTATGCACCTCTTTATTTTCTCAAATTATTTGGTCGTTCGCTAGAATATATTAATAATTTATAATGATAACAAAATTCATAAATATATGATAATTTATTATAAATAATTATTAATTATATAAAATAGTAAAGGTCATTCATTTAATAAATTAGTGCACATAATTATAATTATTAATAATAGTATAAATAGGGGTGACTTCTTTATGTTGTAAAGAATATGACCTTGTTTGATAATTAATATCATCTTAGTAATAAAAATTTAGACATTATAAATTAAAAATATTTTTATTTTGGAAAATTAATTTATATAAAAATATTTAGACCCATGAAATTTATGAGACATATACTTTTCTATTCTTTTTCCCAAAATATTTGGTCACTCGCTAGAATATACTAATAATTTATAATGATAATAAAGTTAATAAATATATTATAATTCATTATAAAAGAATTATTAATTGTAATGGAATAGTAAAATTATTTATTTAATAAAATATTGTACATAATTATAATTATTAATAATAGTATAAATAGGGGTTGATTCTTTATATTGTAAGAAATATCTCACTTTTCGATATTATAATATCATCTTAGTAATAAAAATTGGAGATTATGAATTAAAAATAATTTTATTTAGAAAAGTTACTTTTATATAAAAATATTGAATTTTTGAAATCTGTTAGTCATTCACTTTTTGTTGGAAAGTAAATGTCTCATAAATTTCAAGAATCTGATATTTTTATATAAAGTACTTTTCCTAAATAATAGTATTTCTAATTTATACCATCCAATTTTTTATTACTAAGATGATATTAATTATCGAGCAAGGTAATATTCTTTACAACATAAAGTCATATAATATTAAAAATTACTGCCATTATTTATATGTCCATAACATAAATATTTAATAGTATAAATGGTTTAATTATATCAATAGTGTTGCTTAAACTAATGATTACATTATTATTTAATAATTATACTCCTAAATAAATTGTTTAATAATATAATAATAAGCTAATTTAAATAACTATTAAATGTATGTTAATAATAGTATAAGTATTAATTATAGTATAATTTAAATTTTTTTAATCATAGTGCAATTAAATAACTTTGTAAAATGTTTATATATAATTTATTAAATAATATAATACTAAATACAACAACATGTCTACGTGCAAAGCACGTGCATTATACTAGTCCCATTTAAGTGACAAAATCAACCCCTACATTACTCCTCTAGTAGAATATCCCTAATGCAAGATTGTTTATTAGCCCATATGAATCAAAAAAATCCCGACTTAAAGAAACAATATACCTTAAATCAGCAACACTGAAGAAACTGTGCTACTTTTAGTTCCAATGCAGTCCCTGCAGCTTCACTGCTGCTCTATATATGTGCAGCATCTTATGGTTACTGAAACCACATCTAGTATGCCAAAACCTCAGACACCTCGAACCCTATGAGTTTTCTGAACAATAGGATTGTGGATGACTCCATAATTTCTCAGCAAACACCCCATTGGCTAAGTTACTTGCCATGAATATTGTAATCTAAATAGCAAGGATTTGAAAACGCAGCTTGACTTGTAAAAAATACTCTATAATTTCGAACCACTAGTTATATCAGGGAATATAGACTTACTAGTTAGCTTAAGCCTTAACATATGTTAGGATATGAATTATCAAACTCAGACGGGAGTAAATTAATAATTCAGCTGCCAAAACCCAATATAGCACAGGCTTCAAAGTTCAAACCAAAACCTTTTTTTTCCCCTAAAAGAGGTGCATTCTTCATAACTGGGGGTATAACATAAGAGAGCTAGTTGTTTGAGGAAGGGAACCAAAATCGATCATAAGCCCATAATTGACTACCCGTTTAGTCAATGTGGGGCTACATGGACCCTCATAGCATACCACACTTCCGAAGTCCTGATGTGCATGCAGGCTAACTTAGAACAAGTTCGGTCTCGGTCAAACACTGCAATCCCAGCATCACCCTATCGCTCTTGATGGTCAGATTCCATTAGGATGCAGGTATATTAGTTTGTAATATATATGATTACATGTAATTTTATACATTTATTTCAATCTATACTAGCCTTTTGTATATCAAATAGATAGAATGTTTTCAGATCTTAGCAAACCTCCCTAAAAGGTCACGAAAACTTCTACAGGAACGAGCTTGATCAAATAAAGGATGAACATGTATAAAATCATAATATCTAAATATATTCAATCAATACATCATTTATTACTGATATGTAAATTTACTTAATCTTCTTTATAGGTCAAGTGGATGCCCTATTAACTGGTTTTAGATTCACTACCAGATATTTACAGAGAAGGAAAGATATATGCCGTGCTCGAGTCCCGATTATATGTTTTGAGATTGTCGAAATGCACGTGTCTGACCGTGTGTTCCGATAATTTGGATTAAAACAACATATTCCAGATCATGTAGAAAGAATAGAGCGAAATCCCATAAGAGGAGCACATCACGCAAATTGGGAGATAATTCGTCATGCTTACATTCAAAATTGAGAGTTGAGGGAGGAGACTGTAGTGATGATGAGGGCTGAGACGAACCCGACCTAGATGTGTACTTACGATGGTATTGGGGGATTACTCGTCGATGGATATTTCGGAAGAACAAAGCACCTAAGAAGTACATACCGAGAGGGTCAGTTGAGAGATAGTTGATAAGTGTATAAGCAAAATATACAATTATTTTGTGATTATTATTTTATTATCATCCACTTGCTAATAATCATCTTTCGCTTGTTATCTTATAGGTACAAGAACTCGATGAAGTTGCTTCTATTGCACATGATGCATTGAGAACGACTACCGAGCCAGGAGCGAGGAACGCGTTTGTTCTCATCATAGGAAAAATTCAGTCCGCTCTTAGGAGGACGCGTAATGCGAAACGTGATGGACGTGATGAACATCTTATAGGGTACGAGCGTCGACGGGTTCGAGGACACACGAGAACAGGCTCAAGTCGTGCACATGATGAAGCTAGAGGCTCACAACAAGCTCAAGCCGGATGTTCGCAGCATGTTCAAGTTGACGAGGATGTCATGCGCTCATAAGTTCACATACAACTGGACGTTGAGATCATCCGAGCTCGTGATGAAGGTGAACGGGGAAAGGGGGAGAGGAAGAAGAGTGAGAGAGAGAGGGAGAGGAAGAAGAGTGAGAGAGAGAGGGAGAGGAAAAGAGAGTTCTAAATATTTGTTAAATTCTGATATATTTCATACGATGTTTATGTTTGAAATGCTATGATGTTTACATTTGAAATGCTACGGTGACTTGATTATGGTTGGATTTTTAATAAGTAAATTGAATGTTACATTTTTGTAAAATATATGTTATAGATGTAATGATTATATAAAGATATGTGGTTATTTGTGTTTGAAATTGATTATGGATTGATACGTGCGTAGCAAGAGAGTTGGTGTTAAACTTGTGGATTGATATGTATTAGCATGAGAGAGATTTTTCAGTAAAGTGTGGGTTGGATGGTCTTTTCAAAATGGTCGGGCTTGGGAACCCCGACCATTTCAAATGTGAGGTGGCCACACTCTGCTAAATGGTCGGGGTTGGGAACCCCGACCATTTCAAAACGCCTAATTCGAAATGTTTAGCTGTAAAATTACAACAACGTAGCGGGCGAGCTCCTAATTAGTCGGGGTTGGCAACCCCGACCAATTAGGATCGTAATTTTTTTAAATGGTCGGGGTTGGGAACCCCGATAAATTTTGCACACGCTAAATTAGTCGATGTTTCGAACTAGGACTTGTTTAGCTGCCAAATTACAACAACGTAGCGGGCAAGCTCCTAATTAATCAGGGTTGACAGCCCCGACCAATTAGGATCACGGTTTTTTTTAAAATCGACCTACTTTCTGGCCACAAGACTGACGTGACGAGAAAGTGGGTCGATTTTGATAATAAACTTTGAAGTGGGTCGAGTTTTGAGAATAAAATTAGGAATGGGTTCATTGTGAAAATTTCTTCTAAGCCTTAACATATGTTAGGATATGAATTATCAAACTCAGACGGAAGTAAATTAACAATTCAGTTGCCAAAACCCAATATAGCACAGGCTTCAAAGTTCAAACCAAACCTTTTTTTCCCCTTGAAAGAGGTGCATTCTTCATAACTGGGGGTATAACATAAGAGAGCTAGTTGTTTGAGGAAGAGAACCAAAATCGATCATAAACCCATAATTGACTACCCGTTTAGTCAATGTGGGGCTACATGAACCCTCATTGCATACCACACTTCCGAAGTCCTGATGTGCATGCAGGCTAACTTCAAACAAGTTTGGTCTCGGTCAAACACTGCAATCCCAGCATCACCCTTTCGGCCTCACACTAGCCTAGACCAGGGGAAACAGCGCAATACCAACAACAACACCCGCGCCACTCACTCAATCTGCCTAAATGGACTCTTAGGGGGGGTTATTCATTGGGGTAATTGTTGGGATAATGGGGTAATTTTTAGAACAATAATGTTTGGTGTTATTCATTGGGGTAATTGGAATTGGGGTAATCTATGTGGTGTTATTGGTTTGTTGGGGTAAATATGAGACAAATACCCAACTTTTCCCTAAATTATCCCACCTATAAAAGCAATTGGCAGCCCCACCCCAAAATTTTACCCCAAAACGTTTGCTGGAACCAAATTCCCCCAATTGGAGCCGACACAAATACCCCAGATCCAACCTCCTCTCTCCGCCTCGAGCTCGTGCGGCGTCGGCGCTGTCTCTAGATCGTCCGCTGCCGTTCGCCTTTAGCGGAGGTTGAAGATATGTCTCCGCAAGTTATGTCAGAATGCTTAAGAACCTTTTTTGGGCTTGTCACCGGAAATGAAGGCTCCTTACCAGAGTTTGAACAGTTGCAAGTGCCTAAATTGCGTGATGAAGCATCCGCTCGTGTTTCTAGGGCTCTTTCAGGAGCATACGAGCTTCTCTATGGAGTAATCACCGATTCTCAGAATCATTACCCTGATCCAAAGTCACTGGTGAGGCATTCACCAGATCAGATTAGAACCATATTGGAGATTTAAAGGCCCGTTTCAGCGTTCTTGATGTGTTGTTAATCTGTAGGCCGAACTGATTTATAGTACAACTTTTCTTGGAACATCAATAACTCTTTTATCAAAGAGATATTTTGATGTAGTTTTCGTGCACCAGTTGTTACTGATTTCAGGCTGTGTAATTCATTGCGCTGTTCTTTGAAGGGCCCAAATATTTGGTGATAGGAACACCTTAATTTCAGATGAATATTTTAAGGAGACGTATACGGGTATCTGGGTATATGATTGTATAATTTTGGTGAATAATTGGAAGTTTAAGAATGAATATTGTGCTATTCTCAGCGAGTTCTATTTGTGGTAATGTAGTCTTCTACTTTTAGTTTACAGTATTTTGATGAATTCTTGAATACTAATTCATCTTTTCAAAAGGCAAATTACTTCTCTTAGTCCAATCCACTAAGTTGTTTAAGAAAATGAAATCGTATTATAATATCAAAAAGATGTTTGTTTTTTATCTACTTTAGCATTACAGCATATGAAATCGTATTTTTTATCTACTAATTTGTTAATATAGCATAATAGTTAAAATAATTAAACATCAAAATATTTAAAGATTGATTAATATTAATATTATTAATATTATTTTTAATATTTTATATTAAAATAATCTTAAAAAATAATACTATTTTATATTATAACTATTATTTACTTAGTCATTTGATGTTATATCAAGTTAAACTTGAACTTAATTGAACTATAAATATAATATTATAAAAAGATGTCATAACAATTGTCCTACTCAAATTATCTCATTATCTCATTTTACCCTACTTCATCCCACTCAAATTATCCCATTGGGTAAAATTACCCTATTGGAACAATTTAACCCAATTTACCCCAAATTACTCCAATGAATAACCCCCCCTTAACAACAACTACTAAAAATTTAAGCGTTCCTTGATTACGACAACTAATGAATCAGATACCGGCAAAAATATGAATGACAAGTTTCAACGCAAGTTATCAATCCAATCCAAGTTTCAACGCAACATTTGAAAGCAAATGCGCCCCTTCAGTTTTTACACCACAAATTTTCACCGATTAAAGCGCAACATCAAGATATATATAGCGATCAATCGATCGAGATCAGTCGTTTGATTCTCACCTTGAGGCGACAGCAGAGCGTGAGGAAATCAATGGCGCTAGAAGCGGACTCAGCCCGACGACGCACGGAGGCATCGGCGGTGCGGCAGCGTCACTTCAGGGTTCGCCGCCCGAAGGGCCGGGAGCGCGAAGGATCGCCGAGCTTCAGCGATCTTGGAACGAAGAGAGAGCAGGGAGAGGAGAACGAGAGCGGAGGTTTCGCGGCCATTGATGAAAAGTTTTTTGGGGATCTGGGAGGTTGTTGAAATTTGTAGGACTTTGGGGGATGAATTCGCAATAAATATAGCGTTTGATTGGTGGGGACGAGAGAGAGAGAGAGACGATGCTTTTAAAACGTGAAAATCAACAAAACCAAGTTTTCCTCCGGGTTGGTTAATTTCAGATAACACCCTGACTCTTTTGGTAGTTTCGCACGTAACCCCTCCTATCTTTTCTTTTACTCAAACACCCCGGGAACTTTTATCCATCAGACTTCCCTATCCGTAATTGCATCTTTCAGTGATTTTACTAACACAGCACTCCCAGAATCTTAAAGTAGAGGGAGTTGTCGGAAATTTTATCCCCCTTAAAATGAGGATTCAAGATGTTAAGTGTTGGTAAAATAGTTAAAAGGACGGTAAGTACAGCTCAAGACATAGATGAAGACATAGATGAGGGAGTTATCTGCATAAACAGACTTTAAGAAAAAACCCTCCACCAATCAAAATTGGAAACAGCCCTTATGCAAAACATTACACCATATAATCAATAACAACCATATCCACAAAGCAATTAAACAAACATCATACCATATAATCAATAACAATCATCTCCATTACATTAGGAAGTCCTATCAATTATCTAACCAAACATAAAACCTCAAAAGAAAATCTTTACATAAAATAGTGACTTGCCAATTCGACCCCAAGCGCCACAACACCGTCTCAGCTGAAATTCTTCAGGAACAGGTCGGTCACCGAACTTGTAAACCTTCAACTGCTAGGAATCTCTGTAACAATTAAGGGCCTCGGCGCTTTCCCAATAACCACAAACACCCCCTTCTTTGATCAACAGGGATCATTCCTCCGCCTTTGGAGGTATCGATCACCTCGATCATTGAAACCACTTCGTCCATTTCTGGCCTCTTATCAGGATTCGCATCCCAGCATCTCTTCATGACATTTGCTAGAGAGCTCGGGCAGCACCTAGGGATCTCAGGTCTCAAATTCTGCAGTGGGCAAAGAAATTACCAATCTTTTTTTTTATTGAAGGATTGTTTTGTTTGTAGTCATAACTACTACCCCAGTCTCGGCGTTGCCAACTTACCCCCAAATCATCAACTTTGGAACATACATACATGCATACATTTATATAGAGAAAATTGGGTATGCTTGTACCAAGCACAAATTTTGTGATTGGTAGTGAGGTATCCTATTCTCATCTACTCATTCCAATTCCCAACCACTCCCCAACCATGTGAATATGAGCCCCGATTTCAATGAGTGGAGGGGAATATGCCAACTCACTACCAAGTATATATATATATATATATATATACACCCAAATCAATTAATCATCAATTTGTTGGATATAGTGAAATTTTGACTCTTTTGTTGACATATTTACATTGCAATTACAAATAGCCTATCAAAGTTGATAATTTATGATTTGGGGGCATTTTTATCCAAACTTGATAATTTGGGGGTAGTTTTGCAAAACTGAGTTGGGTAGTTTCGCAAATACGCATAATTAAGGGGTATATGTACAAAAAATACTAATAGTTAAATTAGTGAAAGAATAGGATCCATGTAGCGAACCCCAAAATTTGGGATAAAGGCTTTGACTTCATTTTGTAGTTATTGTTTGTTTATACTTGTTTCATTCAATCAAGCAACGGGAGATTACCTGTCGAACGACAGCAGAAGTGACCTCGGAGAAGCTGAGATCAGGATATGGCATATCACAACAATATATCTCCCAGAGACAAATACCGAAGCTGTAGACATCACATTTTCTGTTGTAGGGGTTTCCATTTAGTACCTACAATCAGTAGAAAGACACCATATACTACTTAGCCAGATGAGACTGTACAAGATATCAAAGAAAAAGAAAAGATCTCGAGTATCTTGTGGACTGTGTTAAGAGGGGGTGGTGGGTGGGGGGGGGGCTTTATTGATATATTGTCGGCTTTCAAAGACCATAATATGTGGCTTTTAAGGTGGGTTTGATATATCTTGAGAGTTTATAGATGCCAGTTATGTAGACTTTTGAGGGTTATATGATGGGCTCAAAGAGGTATGTAAACTTATTCACAGTGCCAGAATTTGCTACCTCATTTCACATCGGTTGGGCTTTAGTTCAGATTATGTATCATAGGCAAATGGATGGGTATGGAAAATAATATTCCTCCTCCACTTCCTCTCCAAATTGTTGAGAGCTGTTGGAGTGTGTAAATCTTGATGAGCTAGATTAATTTCCACCCAAACAAAAAACCAACCCTCCCCCCCCCCCCCCCCCCCCCCCCCCCCCCCCCCCCCCCCGCCGGGGCAAATCCATTTTATGTCCTGTGATGCATTTAGGGGCGCATGCAGTGATATACAAAAAGCAAGGAAAATGAAAATCGTAAACCAACAGAAAATCTGGAGAAAGAAGAAAAATTAGAGAAAGATCTAGCGGTACTTCTCTAAGTGCTATACTTGCATTCTACATTCCAAAAAAGATGCAACCTTCAAGATTCATTCTATATGGTAATGATGAATAATCATCAAGAAAAAACTGTAATAACATTAAAAAAGAATTTTTTTTTTTTTGCATACCTCAGGCGCCATGTAACCAAGAGTTCCTGTCTCGCCGGTCATATCATTTGGATTCTGTGCCTCTACACGAGCAACCCCAAAGTCAGCAATTTTTACAGTTCTCGTTTTATCCAGAAGCATATTCTCCGTCTTCACATCTCGATGCACAATTTTTTTTGAATGAAGATAACTCAACCTAAATAATGCAAGTGCATTTCAACCATAATCATTTGATAACATCGACAAATAAGATTAAAAGTTAGCGCCCCCACCCCCGGAAAAAAAAACCAACCAAAAAAAAAGTTAGGGCATTCTTCACTCAACCCCCAAAAAACTTTGAAAATTTCACTTAATCCCCAATAAGTTCTGTCAGAAAACCCCCGAAGCTACCAACACTTGTTCTGACTTGTGACGTGCATATCACGTTCTGTCAAAAGACCCCTACATGCAGGGGGGAAGCTTTGTGTCCTCTTTTATGTTTCACCCTACAATCACTTTTCGCTCTTGTTCTAATTCCCTGTTCATGTTAGCTGCCAAGTTGGGGCTCCCAATGCCCAAAATTTGTTTATCCTTCAAAACTCTAAATCAATGCTACTTCATGTAATGTTGTCATGGGGGTTCGTAAAAATATTAAAAGATTTGGGGGTTTTCTGGATTTTACTCATTGATGGTAAAGTGAAATTTTCAAACTTTTTGGGATTTAAGGGGGGTTGCACAATTTTATAAAAGTTTTCTCAAAATGTCTAATAATGACAATTCTGTAATTAAAAATTTTATGTAGATTTTCGTAAATTGTGTTTGGTTCAAAAAAAATTACAGAAATATTCTCTGTAAAGTACAAAAAAGTACCAAAATTTACAGAAATTAAAATCCTCTCAAAATGGGCGGAAATCATCCAGAAATCTGACACCATATTGACACTTTTCTATAAATTTAGGGGGGGTTGCTTGGTTCAATATCTACAAATTATAGGAAACCTTGCTATTTTCTATAAAGTTATGAGCCATTTTCTTGTTTTGAACCAAACAAGCAAAGTAAAAAAACAAGAAAATTGGTACTTTTTGACTTCTCAAAACTTTTCCTATAATTTTTTTAAGAAATACAAGTCTCAAAACTTTTCCTATAATTTTTTTAAGAAATACAAGGAAATCATATTTTGGGTGGAAAACATTTCCTATAATTTAATTTTTTTAAGAAATACAAGGAAATCATATTTTGGGTGGAAAACATTTCCTATAATTTGTAGAAATTGATCCAAACACCCCTTAAGAGAAAAACGCCCAAACTTATTTGGTGGGGAGTTGTGAAATTTACTCTAAAACTTACTGAACAAATGCTTACCCCTTTGCAAGATCAAGAGCCAACTGGACCACAACTTTGAATGCTAGTTTCCTTCTCCGATTCTTTATAAGATATGTTTTTAATGTACCCCCCGCAAGGTACTCCACAACCACGCAGCAAACACTAGTTGGCATCCCGAGAAGACCATTTTCTGTTTGAATTGTTAGACCAGTTGCACCCATTGTAGCCCCAATAAACTGCATAATGTATTTGATTTTTTTATTCAATAAAACTTAGGTCAGGGAAAGAGAAAAATAAGCATGCAGAGGGAGAACAAAGGAAGATTGAATGCAGAAAAGAAATAAGCATTATAAGAATACGGCGTAACATAAGCTAAAACTGTTACAGGTATTTGTTGTAGCAGTTTACCCTCAGATAAACTTGTAATAATTAAAACCACTGAAAGTATGTTTCTGAATTAACATGCAAGTACTACATATTTGTTTGTTACAAACCTACTATATAATAGTTTAATGAGAAAACATATGCTTGGCAAATACCATGTCCATGTATTATCTGTATCCTCGAAGATGCACGACTTTAAACTATGAAATATGGTATTAGCTAGTCTAAGGACAACAATCAATCACTTCACCATCGTGGTAACCTACAACATGCATAAAGTAGCACGGATTAAACGAACACCTACTCTAAACTATCAGCAGTGAATGAACTGTGCAGAAATATAGATGTGCGGTGCTAATTCCAATGACAATGTACTGCATGTCTATGAATCTGGTTTATAGCTTCTATAAGTTTGACATAGCAAACATTCTAACAAAGAAAGCAACAGTAGACTTGCCTCGGCAAAATGGGAAGACTATAAATACTGATGTATTCTTTTGTCGCATGTGATCATGATTGTGAGTCAGGGATATTTTTGGAGTACGATGGAATGCTAAGATTATAAACTTCCCCAGCAAGAAATGAAATTATGCAACTGATCCACAAAATGATAAGTAGATAAGAGTCATAAGACCGTATGTCTATATTATGATTCTCATAAATTTGAATGGCAAGTTGTAAAGAATATTTCACCCATAATTTCAATAGTCTGTCCTAAGATAATGAATCTACTTGAGATGTGTTAGAACATAAAATTATAACCCTTGACCCTTACTACAACTTCAGAATTTTGATGTAGTGACAGGATCCTTTGACATGGTACCAAAGTAACCCTGGTTCAATTCCCACTAACCATGAATTTAATCTAGATTTTATGAACTTGATACCACTGCGTGAGTTCAGGTTTTGCTCATGAAAAGGACGTCCAACCTGCGGGGGCATGTTAGAATATAAAATTAACCTCAACCCTTACGATAACTTCGGAGTTTTGGTATAGTGTCAAGGCCCTGTGACAAGATGTATGTACCATTCACAGTTCTCCATTTTTAGCTCCATCCAAAACATTGATATATCAGTCAATGAATCTATCAATTTGTCTAGACAAACTTGAAACAAGCTCAAGACGGGCCGCCTACATGTCTAAAGAAAACTTTGAGATTCATTAACTGATTTATTGAAGATTGGATAACATGAAATGAAATAGGAGGAAATCCATGAAATATTTGAAATTTGCTAAAATATACTTGCTTTACATCCATGGTTAAGATGTCCTGCTTTAAATAATATGTGAAATTTTCTACGTATTTAATTAAGATTTTGCAATAAGGTGGTTATTCTTACCAAGGCTTTCACGAAGTCCTAGGATCAAACATGTGCTTTTATTTACATGATTTAACGCAGTCCGTGTGCAGGAAAGTTCCATTTCCTCTTATATAACTTTAACTTGCAAGCATTTTCCTAAAAGAATTGGGCTGCAAACAATAAGATTAAGCTTTCAGGTAAAAGTAGCTCCTTATCTCCCGAAGCAAAGATTTAATGTATCTTTGTTATACGTGTTTCCTCCATGTATACACCAGTCTCTGTTAATATTTTCCTTGCCTAAGAAGACTACCATGATGTTTACCTTTAAGCAATATAGGAGTCCGCTACCTGTTAGCTTAAGTATTTCGAGTCTAATAAATTTTTAGAGGGTGAAAATTTATGTTCCATGCCAAGACAAGTTGAGTGTAATATGATTTGTGATACGGAGGTCATAAGTTCAAGTTCACAAACCAATAACAAAACGAACTTTTTTCCTCGTACTAGGAGAAAGAAAAGGACCCATCTTATGTTCAAACAACTCATGGTAATGAAGCATTTCAGTAATAATATTCAAGCAACCGGAGCTGTACAAATGAAAATTTTAGATAATAGTATTCATCTAAGGATATACTAATTCCAGAACAATTCATGTAAAAAATGTTATAACCTACTCAAGAAATTTCAGAACAATTAAGATAGAAATAATCTGATATTTTAACCTTTGTGACATTTGGGTGATCAAGCTTGTGCCAAACGGCAACTTCCTGAGAGAATGCTGACCGAAGAGAAGCAATTTCAGCTTCAGTCCTGGTACCTTCTTCCCCCCAGTCAAGTAACTTCACTGAAAGTAATAACTAACTAGTTAAGAAAAAGAAGTTGAAGAGTTCAATGCTAAAAAGGATGCTTCTATTACATAGAATAGTTTGTGTATACACTGTACAATACAATAATAAAATTAAACATAATGTAGTACAAGTAGATGTGCAAGATATTTTGAAGTAGTACTTACACTACCTACCATGAACTGGAAGGGGAATTAACTATCTATGGCAGATATCCAATATATAAAATACAGAACTATATAAAACAAGTTTTTGCTAAAACATTGTAAATTTATAAAGAAAGCATGTGCATTATTTGCAAAATTTGATCGGTACCTTTATCTCTTTTTTCCAAATTATATTTAATTATAACCTCTTTTTTATGATGTTATACTGATTTTCAGCCATATGGCTTATGATTCACTCACCCAACTTACTAATATTATGAGGTTCAGTTCGAAAATGAGGAGTTTCAATTCACATGGCTTAACAATTGTTCGTGCTATGGAACGCTGGAAAGAGTATGATTTAAAGAAAAATGCAGTCTCAATGATATATTGAACGCTTTATTGACTGGATAAAACGATGATGACTTTAAGTGAACTGTCATTCTCGAATGCCATTGTTCTGGACCAAGGAAAGATTATAAGTTGGGATAATGACTAAATGAGGAGGAAAAAACCACTGATTGTTCCCATTCCGTAAATGGAGAGAAGAAATATAGTTAATTAATCCTAATCCTAACATGAAGAATACCATATTTCAAAACTTCTTGCCTCCGAGTCATCTACTATTTGATATGCAGGATGCAATCTCTCTTCTCCAAAAGAAGTATGATAGCATTCACATGGAAAACATTAGAGGCATTTTTTTCTGGATATTTACTTCTTATGTATTAGGAAATTGCAATTGAAACAGCGCCACCACTGTAACTTCCTAGTTCATTTCCTTCACGTCATGGGAACAGAAAAAATTCTAATGTTATCAAACTCTCTGAACCAGTGGCTTTAAAATATTGCCCCTGCATTTACTTTTACATTAATTATGTTTACTTTGTCAAACTCTCAGCTTACTAGATTTTTCTGAGGTTGGGATCACAAGAAAGTTGAGAAAAGAACACTTACCCATCAAATATCACAAGATGTACCCAATCAAAATTAACTGCAAAGAAAATCTAACACAACCCGTGAGACTCATCAACTATCTGCATGCCAAACTTTTTCGAGATAAACTGAAAATATCTCCAAAAGGAGTTACTGACAATTAAAGGATGCATACTCCATTATATCACAAGAAAGGTGCAGCTTGTCAGAATTAATGCTTGCGTTTGTGGAAAGAGACCAGGAAAAGCTAGAAGAAAAAGGAGAAATAAATGCTCCAACTGGTATATGAAAAATAATTCATAATTGCTTCCGAAAACTACTAACTGCGTCTCCAAAGAATTGTAGCGGGTGTTTTTCATTTATCAGGTCTTTAAAAAGGAATTATAACTAACAATAGATGGGAGAGTTCTCTCTCAGACAACTGCATGTGTGCTTAATGCAGAAAAAATTCACGGTTTTACATCCTTACAATACCTACAAAAAAATGTTTCAGCAGAAATCAAATGGATATCTAGGGAAAATATAAACCTGTGTACAAAAGTAGACTTGAGAAACCACAAATAAAGCAAATAATTCATAGTTTAAATCAAAACTGAATAAAGGGAATGGGTGATCTCCTAGGGGGGAATGGAATCTTATGTTAAATATATATAAAACATGAAAAACTGCAGTCACACGGAGAGTAAAATAAACATGCGGTCAACTCTATACATTCATAGCGCAAGGATTCAAGGATCCAGAAAGGAATAAATAACAAATAAATCAACGATAATGATACAAGTCCCAAACTTGAAGCATGGATATCGGATTAGAAGCGACGAACGGAAAACAGGACCAAAAAAAATATCATAGAAATTTTAAGAACCCAAATGCAATATTTGATTGGACAAAATCCTCAAAAATTAAAACATGGGTATTTAAATTGGATCAAGGGGAAACCCAAAAATATAATCAAAAAGCAATCTTGGCAGAAGAACTTTGACCTGCGACATCTTGCCCATCATAGACCCCACGATGAACAGTACCAAAAGTTCCTCTGGCAATGGCGGTCTTGATGATGAGCTTCGAAGGATCAATCTCCCACTCCTCTCTTTGCCTCTCTTCATCCTGCTTCTTCTTCTTCTCAAGCGTATAAGCTCTTGTGAGATGCCTTTCTAGTTGCTCATCCAAGCTCTTGAGATCAATTTGGTCAGCTCTCACAAACCCATCACCTCCGCTTTCCTTCATTCTCTCCCCCTCTCTAAGACTCTCCTTTCTCTCTCTAGAATCTAAGCTTAGTGTTTGCTTCTCTCTCTCTCTCTCTTCCTTCTTCTTTCTTCTATGTTTCTGGTCTCGATGTGGCATGTGAGCACATGGGTTGCTTGAAGAAGGTCTCTGGCCCACTTGGGCTCAAGTCCACGGCTCCGCAAATTAATAAGAGTAATTAATGAGTACTGATAAGTAATATGTAGTGAAATTATTGATTATTTTATGATTCGTTAGGATAAGAATAAAAGGGTGTTTCTATAGAGTGCCCATGGGCACTCTATAGAAGAAGAGAAAGATAGAGAGAGATGATTGAGGAGGAGGCCCACCTGATTTGTATTGGGATCCTCTTCTCAATCATCTCTCTCTCCTCTCTTATAGAGTGCCCATAGAAAAACCCAAAATAAAATAACAGAATCCTAAAAATTGTAGAATTGTGATATTAACTAGTGTGCACTAATTGCAAATTTAATCATAACTTACTTTTTTTTCATCACATGCCAGTGTTTCCTTTTGCGGGCTTTATATATGTTTTTTAAATAGTAATTGATGAAAATTCTGTTGAAGCAAGTACCCTAGAGCACATAATTGATGATAATAATAAGTCTTTCTTTCCTTTTTTTTTTTTTTTTTGGTTTCCTTTCTTTCTTTATTTATTTGTTTTGCGTCTAAACATTAAGTGCTTTCTCATTAGTCACATTCCATTCATCATTAAGAAAGGAGAATTATGAAATGTATGTGCTAAATGTACTCCTTTATTGTACATGCATTTTGTACAAATAGGATTATTCTCACTTGAGGAATTATTATACTAATTAGGTAGTGTATAACAAGGGTCGGCAAAATATAATATATTAATGATGCTGAATTTTCACAAATTAAACTCTCAAGAGGTTTCACTATTGAGAAATCATCTCCAAAAAGTTTGGAAATGTTATTGGACCACTAAACCTTGGCATTTTTTGAATCAATTTCTAGATAGCTCCCAACTTTTGTGGGGTCATCTGAAATTTTGTTTTCAAAGGTTTAAGTGACATTTCCAAGCTTTTTAGCGATCATCTCAAAATTGGTCAAATTTCTTGAGAGGTTTTTTTCATTTATCTAATTAGTGATCCATAAATATTAATTAGACCTACAACTTTTCCATTCAAAGTCCATATGCAACCGTATCAATTAATGTTGTGTTTCGATATGGCATCTGCATGTGATTGTTATATCCAACCAAAGTCATAAGTTAAAATCTAAAAATGCTAACACTTCAAATTAAGGACATTGCATATTAGAACTATGGCTGAACAATGCCAAGTTTCACAATTAGCACAAATCACATGAATATATATATTTTGAACTAAACAGAAGTATTCGAATATCATTTTGCGTAATGAATGGGATAACAAAAGAACAACAATGTACATATTTCTCCCTATGGTGTCAAGAAATGAAAGGTCTCCTTCATAGAGCTGTCTTTTTCCTTGACTAATAGGTGATACTTTGAAATGAAATTGCATGGGGAGGAGAATTTGGGTATATATCTCTATCCAACGTATAACAAGGAAAAGCATCCATTGCTTTATCGTAGACTTGACTTCGGCTTACAACATTTACAAAAATTCAGTAAGGAGTCTTCATGATCTTTCCTTAGGAAGTTAGAACATTGGATTTGCCCTTGTAAATTTAAATTGGTTGCGATTAGAGTTGGGATTACCAGATACCTACGAGTCATGTGTCTCTTACTTTAACCGTGACATTTTACATATCCTATGGTTCTTACTTTAATCATGACATTTTACATATTCACTTAGAAAATATGTCAGCAATATCAATTCAGGATCCCAAAGATAACAAATCAATTAGCTAGAAATTGCCTACCATGATTACAGTAATTTGTTACCTGAAGATTGCAAATTTATGGCTATAAATCAAGCCAATTGTATACAGCAATTCAATCAAGGAAGTTAACCGTTCTATGGTATCAGAGACTTGTGATTAAAAGCTCAACCTTGATCCGTGGCTTCTCCACGAAACTCAACTGCAATCATCTCCAAATTCCCCTTTCCAACAAAGCTTACTCAAAATCCAATCTCAATTGCAAAATTATGCAAAACCAATCAAATCTCACTTGAATTTTTTTCCTCTACATTTCTTGGTGAAGGACCTTTGCACGGGGGGCGCCTCTTCTTCACGGGGATAACCGTAATAATGTCAACTTCTTCCGAAGTCGAGTCACCCATCAAATAAACTCCACATCAAAGTCTGAAATAAGTGAGTGGCACTATCATCTTGGTCACCCTTCCAATCGAATTCTCCAACCTAGTGTTCGCTCCGATAAACTAGCGTCTAATGTTTCTCTAGTCAACGACTTTCAATGTAACTCATGTGATTGCAATAAAAGCCATAAGCTCGCATTTGATGAAAACTCACTAAATGCTTCAAAACCTCTACAGCTACTATATACTGATGCCTTGGGACTCACAGAAATATCATGTGATGGTTTTCGTTACTACCTAATTTTTGTTGATCACTTCACTAAATACATTTGGTTATATCCCTACGAAGCACAAATCTAAATACTTCAACTTCTTATATATCAACCATACCTGCACCATTCACCCTATATCTTCAATCCTCGAACCAACATGAGTGTCTCAAGCAGTGAAGGATCCCAAATGGCGTGCTGCAATGTCAGAAGAATTTGATGCCCTAATGAGAAATGAGGCATGAGACCTTGTACCGCAAACAAATAAAAATCTCGTTGGTTGTAAATAGATCTTCTGATACATTTAGTATGGTCACAAAACCAACTATAATCCGTGTAGTACGGTGCCTCGTCTTCTCTCATGGATGGTCACTCTACCAACACAATATCAACAATGCATTCCTCAATGGCACTCTTCATGATGAGTTTCTATATGGTTCAACCTCTGGGCTTCATTCACTCTTCCTTACCCGACCATGCATGCAAACTTTAGAAAGCTTATATGCTCTAAAACAAGTGCCTCGAGCATGATACCAATAACTAAAAGGCTATCTTCTATAAGTAGCTTTCACTAACTCTGTGGTGGATGCATCACTCTTCATCTACTCCAAGGATACCGCTATAGCCTACTTCTTTGTATATATCGATGACATCATCCTTACCGGCAACAACAACAACTTCCTAGGATCATTTGTCCAGCAACTTGGACAACGCTTCTCTCTAAAGGATCTCGGAGACCTTCATCAGTTTCTTGGTGTGGAAGTTATTCCCAGATCCCACGACCTGTTCCTCTCTCAACATCGTCATATTGCTGGCATACTACATTCCTTATCCATGGCAGGGGCTAAGGAAATCAATACTCCCATCTGCACCACTACCTCACTCCTGCTTTGTGATGGGACCGCCTCTATAGATCCCACTCCATATCGCAAACCCGTTGGTAGACTTCAATACCTATCTCTTACTTGACCCGATGTGCCCTTCGCTATCAATCGTCTATCACAATTCATGCATTCACCCATAGAATTGCATTGTATGGCACTCAAACGTGTCCTTCGCTATCTAAAAAAGCGCAATCCATCATGGTCTCTATCTACATCGAGGCACCCCCTCTCACTCGATCTCCAAGCTTTCAGCGAATCTGATTGGGGTGACGATGGTGACAATGGCTGGTCAATAACCGCATACATCCTCTACCTCGGCTCAAATGTAATCTCATGGAAATAGGCTTGTCAAAAAACCCGTCTCTCGATCCTCCTTAGAGGCCGAATACAAAGCCCTCGCAAATGCAAATGCTGGAGTACTATGGGTAAACAATCTTCCTCATGAACTATATAGATTAACATCCCTAAACTGCCCTCACTGTACTGCGACAATACAGGTGCTACTTATCTCAGTGCACATATAGCCTTGGACTTTCACTTCGCGCAAGAATGCGTAGCAAATGGCTCAAGA